TATTACTATTAATTATTAGTATATTGTATATCCCGCTGACCGGCACACACTCACTCAGTCACAAGCATAATTACCATATTTTTGAATTGTTTTTATTTTTCTATTTAATTATGTTATTTGTGAATTATTATATAATATAATATATAATATAATATAATATATATGTAGATTATTATAAAGCGCCTATCTCACGCCGCCGCGCCGGAATCCGGTAGTTCGCGACAAGCAGTGAACGCACAGAAAAATGATTATTACGTCTGCGAACCACCGTGATTCAATATAAAAATTGAAGAAAGTTTCAATTGCCGTGGCTCAAATCACCAGTTTTTATATTATATTAATTGTTGTTGCCGTGGCGCAAATCGCCACTAAATTGTATAATATTAACTGTTATGATATCGTGGGCGCGAATCACCGCTTTGTTTTTTAGTGTATCATTATTGTCGAAGGCGCTAAATACCATCCTTTTATTATATTATTAAATTTGTGCCATTATTATTATTCGGGCATTGGTAGCGGCTGGCCATTCTTCATTTTCCAAATTGTGAGTTTTATTTATATATTTTATTATTAGTAGTATTATTAGATAGCTGTTGGGCCAGAAGGGCCATATTACATTATAGTAATATTTGTATACCTTGGTGTGGTTGTGAATTTATATATATTTTGTATTATTGAAATTAACTGTATAATAATACGGCAAATCGAACACCAATAATCGTTGTTACCATTTTATTATCTATTTTTCCTACTTGTTCATTAGTTTTAAGTATACACACCCAATGTTTGGAAAAAGCTGTAAAATTCAGTTAGAATATGTTCACGAACCTCAATTGGTTGTTCTGATATGGATTTACCCTACCACTTACTTTTCCAAAGAATTAACTTTATTAATAGTCAACCGAAATCTAAGAAAAAATGAGTACAAATCCAAATCACTTGTCTACTTATCTCTATTGACTTGTTTATACATTTATTTGGGAATAATAAATATAACGATGATATAATTTTATTATGATCAGTAAAACGTTCTTCAATTGATTAATAAAATATTCAACGAATATAATTGCTTAGCAGTTACTGAAATATTTTTCAGGACAATCAGTTGTTGTATGAGGATTGATGGCTGCCAGATACAAGTGATTTTTAATAAATGGTTGATAAGCAATTTTCAACAGTGAACAAAGTTATAGTTTATTTCTATTAATTTAGGCAATATTATGAAGTGTTATCATGTTGATATCAGTGATCAGGTATGAATGGTTATGGTTCATTTCACTCGCTGCAGGCTGTCCTCTGGACTTCCTTATAAATAATGTAGACTCCTTTCATTTTGACGGGTCAGGTGTGCTACAGATGTCCTTCTGTATACGATTATCTAATTGATATTTAACTAATTCGTGACCTGGTCAACAGTTCCTTGCTTACAATTTTATAGGATTTCAATTTATGAATTGTGTGAGGTAAGTATATTATTCATACGGTATAATATGTTCTATTTTTCGCTAAGATCGATTGTACTAATTCGTAGAATATAGTAAATAGTAATATATTCAATTAGTCGTTACGATGAATGAATTAGTAGAGTTCATTGCCTGCGTCACAGTATTAATATTTACACGATTTTTTTGACGAACAATAATAATTGTTCTTGGAATTTTCATTTTTTCTTTAAAACAACTAAAACTCAGTGAAATAATTAATAAATAAATGACAATAATTAATAATTATGTATAGGTACATACACGAGTACACAACCGTCAACTATATTATACTATTACGCGTATAACACGCACTTCTCATACACGACACAGACACCACACATCGAACATCATGATTATTGTAAATTATGATTAAGTACCTTTAGAAAGTGGGCACTGGGCCATGGAGATTATCGTCGTTATGCGCAATACAGGTGCCTATTCCCGCATTTTGTTGAAAGATAAAATACTCCGATTTGAAAAATTAATATAAAGTTGCATTTAGTAAATATAAATAACTTTAGCTCTGGCATTTTAAGACGAGCGCTTCCCCGAGTAAGGCATTTGGTTGGCTTATCATAAAATAACGTTATCATATAGTTAATTTAATCTGTGCTATGGATCAAATTCAGCAAAAACCCAAAAGTTTCTCCAATCTCTATACCATATTTGTAATGAATAAATCAGTAAAATATATATGTATTATTATGGTTCTAAAGCTGAGCCCTAACCCTTGTGTTATAAGTAATAATACATTTTAATGAATTTCTATGAAAATACCAAAAACTTTTAAAAATAAATTTTAATTAATTAATAATTTTGAAAAAAATGGGTTCTTTGATTCTTAAAATTCATTTGCCTGTCGGTGTCTCCCCTCTCCATTTTTTTCTTTAATTTAACTCTAGTTGGTTTTATTATAGGTATACATTTCTTAAACTTTGATAATCAGCTGGAGCCCCCTGAATAATCATTGTTTAATGAACTAATTATTTTGAATAGCATTTTCGGTTTAAGAATTTAGAGATTGTAGACTGCAGTCTTCAATGTGTGCATCTATAATATTATATTCTTAAAATTGTTTTTTTCTAGATTCTTAAATTGCATTTGACTGCCGGCGTCTGTGTATCCCTTCCCATTTTATTTTAAAAATATAACTCTAGTTGATTTTTTTATTCACATTTTTTTTAAACATTGACTAGCTTTTGATGGGACGCATCTCATTAAGCATTTATTGATAAATTAACCATAGTAAATCGTGTTATAGGTTTATAAAAATCGGCAAAATGCAAACTACCGTAGTCTCTAGCTAGGGTGTGTCCCTAATGTAATTTTTTAAATTTTGTTTTTTTTTTGAAATGGATTTGCCAGTGAGCGAGCATGTTTCCCTTCCAATTTTTTTTCTTTTGATTAATTTAGTTCTAGGTGCTTCTGTTCTATACATGTTTTAATCTTTGACCATATTTTATCAGGGATAATTGATTAACCATAAGTTAATAACCTAATTAGTAATTATTGATTGTGAGAATTTTTTTCAATTTAGGAATCCGAAGAAAGTACCTATAATGCATCAGTTTCCAACTCTACTCTATATATATTTTTTAAAATTTTTATTTTGCATTTTAAAGTGCGTTCGCTTGCGGGTACCCAGGTCGCCCTTTTTTTTTTGGTTCATTAATTTAACTTGATTTTTTTGCTTACATTTTTAATAAGTTATTTGAGAGACCACATGAAAATCATTTTTTAATAATCTAACTAATGTGAATAAGTGCAAATGACTTTTGGGGCTTTCCACTTACTTTTTGAGATTCATTTGATTGTATTTCCTGCACTGTTGATTTTAATAGCAGCCTGTTGTATTTTTTAAAAAAACAATTATTTTTACAAATTTTTGGATGTATAATATAGTGTAGGTTTTTCTTTTTTTGTTACAGGACAGAATTAGCTACATATTATTCTTAATTTACAAAGTAATCACCTTTATAATTATGAAATTTGCCCAAAAGTTATTTTCGTAAGACCGGTGACTTACGTCGTTTTTGGAATAACTGAATTTCATATATTGATACAGTTTTTAAGTTCGAAAATCTATATTTTAGATTCGTGGTAGTCAGGGGCGTCATTTCAGTTTATTTGCTGGGTGTGCAAACTTTAGACAGGCCAATTTTGACATTTCACCAGGCCATTAAGACAAATATATATTTATACATATAAATGTAGGTAACCTATGCAGACATATGTAAATATTCTTTCCTTCTTTTTATAATTCTAATTGAAACTCATAATGACAAATGCAACTTTTAAATAGCAATTCAAAGAATTAAAAGTTTATAAGCAATTTAAGCAATCAGCTAAAGTCATTTCACTTTTAAATATATTTTATTTTAACATTTTTTAAGTTGGTGAGACCGTTGCACACCCTGCTCCTCCCCACATGACGCCCCTGGTGGTAGTGTGTATAAGATGTGGTGTAGCACTATAACGTGCACTACACTCGGACAAAAAAATGCTAATTGCTATGCAACACCACCTCAAGTAAGGTCACAAGGTAACCGCCGTATTACTGTTCTTATCATTTTCTCTTATCACTCACAAGCACCCGTCTATCTAGGCAGCATGTATAACATATTTCAAAGAAATAATTTTAAAAAGCACTTACAATTTGATGGAATGACAATGTAAAATATGTAGAATAAAAGTATGAAAAGTCCGAAATATCCTGTAATTATGGAATAACCTTATTTGTTATAAGACTGCGATAAATGTGTAAATTTAATCATTTACGATTAAAATAGTACCTACCTAATCATTTAATCGACCATTACTTGGGCCGAAACTCACCTACAGATAAAGAGTTGTTGGACCGGAATTCACCGGTCTTAAACGTCGGAAATAACACGGTGGGCCGCAGCTCACCCACAGCCATCATAACTATTTACTGGTAATTAATTACGGACAGACACAAGCATTCTAAACTTTTGCTTAGAAACCTAAAATGCAAGAGAAGATCACGTGGTACACCAGCTATAGTCACTCTCCCCTCCCCTAAATAATGATATAGGTACCTACTTGCTACTTCTTTTGGCCCCAAAAATTTTCGATATTTGTTTAGAAAATTAATGTGACAACGATATAACAACGGTTGGTCAGTTGCTAATTTAATCGTCTGAAAGTCGATGAAAACTCGGTGCAGGGATCGTTAAACATAATAAATCGTCAATTATTATCATCATTATTAATTTAACTGCTTGGACACTATATTTATGTATTATATTGACATATTGATTACATGCATAATTATAATCATTATAATATTATTATTAATTTAGGCGTCGTCGTCGTAGGTAGGCTTCACAACGTGGAGCGTGGTGTGCGGCTATTATAAAATAGTAGTACGCACAGTGTAACAATAAAATAATAATAATGTATCGATATAAATGTGCGATAACATTGCTGTACAGTATAATAATAGTTAATAGTACAATACACAATCGACACCGAACACAACATAATAATAATGTACAGTTGAGTGACGACGGCGGACGGTCGATCACCGCGTTGGCGTTTTCGTTTTCGTTTTTTTTTTTCGACAGAAAAGTTCGTTATAACATATTCCCCGCGGGTAACTTGCCCGTTGTCGAGGAAAACTTGCGCACACCGACCGAAAACATTATACAAACGTCATAATAATAATAATAATAATAATAATAATAATAATAATATACAACACGCGTGTTCGAGGTTTTTGGCGGAAATCGATTTTTTTTTTTTCGTTGTAGTCGTCGTTCCGTCCTCGTTTCGCGTTTATATATAATTAAAATAATTGTGAGTGCACCTGCCTGCCCGCCTGCCTGCTAGCCCGCAAAGGACCCATTTAAATATTATATAATAATATACTCGGACTCCCCCGGGCCGACTCGTGATGTATGCGAGGCACACATAGTTTATTGGCACCGGTGGTGCGCCCTGAGTCGTCGTGTTTCTGAAATAAAAATAATATCGTCGTCGTCATTCGCGAGTTCATCTGCTCCAGACCATGTGGCGCCGGTGTGCTGGTGTGATGCTGTAACGATACTTGTAGATCTCGATTTTCCCCTAAAATTTTCCTGTCTCAGAGTGTCGTTCCTCTTTCTCCCGACCAGAGATGGACGACGACAACAAGTGCCACCGGACCGAGAACAACAACGAAGACATGCAGCTCCAGACCACCGGGCGAGCGTTGCAATCGTTCCCGAAAAGGCCCGAAGTCCACTTGTCGTTCGAAAGTCTCACCTACACCGTGAATACCTACAAAAGGTTGAAAAAAGGTATAAATATTTTATTTTCACAGGAAGTAGCCACCGGTATTATAAAACAAATTTATTTTTAAAATCATTTTCACAATATAATTTTGATATCGTGTACTTAATACATCCGCACATGCAGTATTGCTGTGAATCAAACAATGATATTTTGTAAATGACAAAAATAGTTTGTATTTTTTTTAAGGACGAATATATGCATGTGGTTCAAATAAAATTTAAAAATAAATTGGCAATGCTCAATGTCAAACATGAGGTCATATTAAAATAATAAAAATAAAATAATATTTTTGAAAATCACAAAGGTTAACAATTGATTTAAAACATAGGTAGTTATAATTAAACAGAATACAGAGGCAAAATGTAATACATTGCGTGAGACTTGAAATGTTCACCAAAATATTTACATTAGCTTTTACTAGATATGATATAGTTTTAATTTTTTATTACTTTACATGTGTTGTAATTTTTAATTTTCTACTAATTTTAGGTTTTTTGGTTAATGAAGAATACGATTTTAGATTGCTAGGTACAAACCTTGACATTTTAATGTGAGATTATTTTTAAGTTTTTTTTACAGAAAATAAAATATATCAAAGCTACATATTGTAACAATTTTTTTTAGAAGCATTTAAAGTTAAAATTTTCATAAAATTCATCAAAACCAGGAATATTTTAGAAAATTTTTTTTTCTTATAAAATGTGTAAAATATTTAATTACATAAACTGAGTTTTGAAAATTTGATACAAGATTTCTCATAGCCATAATTTATTATTCATAAGTTTATTTACTGGAAATTAAAATAAAATAAAAACTGTGTGAAATGAAATTTCAACTTCAATCGTAGTTTTTAATGATCTCCAGCTTTATGAAAATAAACAATATCTCTGTAAGGACTTGCATCGAAGTGATAGGATTTTTGGTTCAAGTTCGTGATAAAAAAGAATTTATTTGTTTGATTATTTTTGTTTTATTTACCCTCATTTCATTATAAACTAATGAATTAATTATTAATTATTATTTCAATTTGAGACCTTTTTTTTATAAAGTTGTAAGTTAAAATCAAATTGTCAGTAATTTCCAGTAATTGAAAAATGTGTAGTATAAGTAAAACCACAACATTAGTTTATATGTTATTAAATATTTTATAAAATGTTATTGTGTGTACAACTTTCCAAAATATTATTATTATAATATATCTAAGTAAAAATGTTTTATTCCCATTGTAAATATTTTTTTAATTTCAACGAAATATCGAAAATCTTATATTATTCTTTGTATGGATATCTAATTTATTGCAAATTAGAGTATAAAATGTCTATAAATAAATATTGTGTTTATACATGATTTTTAGATTTTTAGGTATTTCTAATTTATTGTAATTTCGTAGCTACTTGAGACTTTCAGAGTACATTGTTATATTGCATACAGTATACGCACAAAGACATTTTCAAGTGCTATATTTTTGGCAAAAATGTTTTTAAACTACTGTAGTACTATAATGCCTGATAGCAAAATCAATTTTTTTAATCACAATATCACACAATTTACTTAGTAATATTAAATGCCGTCCTCGCTCAGAATCGTTGTTTGTATACAATGATTTACATCCTGCATTACAGTGACTCCTACATATAGCCTCTAGACACCTTATGTACAGCAGAGAGTTGCCCACTTACCCACTTTTTTAATTTTAACCTCTTAAAAATAACGATTAGTATATTCACTTTCATACCAGAATAGATATTTAAGTTGAAAATCAAAACAAATTTTCTACTAGATACTTATTGAGTATACTTAAAAAAAGATCATGTTAAAATCAATGCTTTCATCGCTCGGCTCAGATTCTAAAAAAGTTAAATTATTTTATGGATTCTGTATAACCCTAAAAATAGTGATAACTTGTTGTCATTTTGTAAATAATTGAAGGTGAGGTTATTGTTGTATAGTACTTAAAACCAATATTATATTGATAAGTCTTAACGCCTAATGTTTATAAACTATAATAATCAATATGATATTTTAAAAAGTACAACCAAGATCCAACTTAGCCCGTTCTCTCACTTTGATTATTTATTGGTACCAATAAACCCGTTGAATAAAAAATATTTTTATTCGGCTAATTAAAATAATATGTCAGTGATGTTATAGTTTTTTCGCATTTATAAATATTTTTATTTGAAGTAGAAGTGCTACGGTAACTGAAGCAGGAATATTCATCCAAATCTCAAAATATTAAGAATTTAAGGTTTATTGTTTATTAAACTCTTATAATACCTAATTAATATAATATGTTATTTTTAAATCGATAATTAAGTCAATGAATAGGTTTTAAATCATTTGAATTTTTATAGTAGCTATTTCATAATGTAATAGGTAATTAATTGTCTATTACTGTAATAAAACGTCCATCCACTCAGAGGTGTCTAAAGGCAGAAAAGTTATACAAGATTATAAAGCTGAGGACTTCTACTTAAACCCACAAAATATGGTTGAAAAGCAAAATAGGGCAATTTCGATTTATAACTTTTTTAAATCACGAAATCAACAATAATTTTTTTATATCCACTACAATGAAATACAAACAATTAAAAAAAAAACCAGTTTTAAAATTCGAACAATTTAGTATCAATTTCCATTACAGTATTAATTTTTTTAAATTAAAATAGAAAATATAAGAGTAACAATTTATGACAATGAAATAAGTAGATACTTCAATTGACGCCGTTCACACAAGAAAGAAACAAGGCAAACATGTGTTTTATACGATAAATAGTCCATTATTTTCTTATCTGTAATTGTTTCAATATAATAGGTGCACAAAATGTTGCAACCAGATAGACGACCAGTTTATCATAAAAATAATATTTATTAGACAACACAATAGATATATTGTATACTTTTGAGGCGTCAAACGTACTTTCTGGACCACTCTGATTCGTTGTCCTCTCTAATTCCACAAGTTTCCGCGTTAGGTACTTTACTGTAACATAGTAAAAGTTTATTATCTATAATATATTATACAATTAATGTTATTGTGATTATTTGTTTTATACTTTTACACTTATTTAAGAGAAGAATTTAATTGTTATAACACTCGTGTAGGTGTATTTTACGTTTCTATTTATTCAAAAATGTAAACAATATTTTGTTATTAACTAATTTTGCACTTTGACCAAACTAACTTAACATTTTATAGCTCCAATCAATAATATTTTTTCTTATTTTTGAATATTTAATTTAAAATAAAATACACATGAACCTATTGTAACTTAAATAATTGTTTTTAAACATATTACCTATTCATATAATAGTTAATCGGATAAAGTGGTAACACTATAATACTATATAGTTAACTTTAACTATAAATGGAAGTAAATATATATTTTCATAATGAACATTAATCAATACTTATTATTACAGAGATATTGTAAGCTGCATCCTGTTTGTAAACAAAATATGTTTATATAGAATATGAAATATATAATTTTAAATTGCTGACTGATAACTTGAGTTAATTTTCTGTTCAAAAATAATTTGGCACTCACTTTGCTATACATTATTATATTTTTCTTATATACTCAAAACTCAAGTGTATCCTATATATCTTAACTTTTTTTTTATAAATATTTCTTAATAAAATTCTATTTTATATTTATTTATTAATGTTTTTAATATTGTACGATTAATTTTTGTCCTAGAATTTTAAAATCTATAACACTATAAGTATTAAGTTATAAAATAAGTTGGCGAGTTGAATGGAAACTAGAATTAATATGAGAATTTAGTGGTTCGGGTGCTTTTACTGTTCAGTATGATTAGGCTTGAGCTGGGAGCCTATATAATATTTAATCATATTATGCTGTAGGTACCTTTACTTAAATACTTCTCGGGAAGAGGAATCAACATTTTGACATTAGTGGAGACGACGATGGCGGAAATGGTTACCTATTTAGATTTTTACATTTTGGCGTACACAGTACATGCGTTATTTTTCGAAATATTACCTAATAAATAATATAATATAATATATTGTATATCACATACAAGTAGTACATTTTTAACAATGACATAATTGTCCCAGATAGTATCGATATCGTCATGGAACACTAATATAATATAGTTGTATTTGTAGCGAATTTGCCTTATTTTAAATGTAATACATCGACTTGTTAAAAAAAATGTATCTTATTGTTTTGTAATTCTCTGATAATACTGTTATATTATGCAATGTGCAATGTGCATCATGTGATCATATCGTAGTGGGAGCGATGAGTATCATGCTTCCTATAGGTATATATGTACAGTATACACGTTGATGGCCGCTCGCAGACAGTCGCAGTGTTGTGTGCATAATAATGATTGTAATAATAATAAATTAATAAATAATAATATATAATTATTTTTATCATTAAACAATATTGTACCTACCAATGGTTTGAACAACGATATTGATTTTAAGATTACTTATCTAAGCCCCGTAATGGTCGTAATTACCCAAGTGTCTAACCATTGGTAATTGTTTCTTCAGTGAAAAAGGAGATTTTGCACGGCATCGGTGGCAGTTTCCGGTCTGGACAACTAACGGCCATCATGGGACCGTCGGGCTGTGGCAAGAGCACATTACTCAACGTCCTCGCCGGATACTCGTGAGTACATTAAACAATAAAGTTTTTATAAACGTAGTCATGTGTCTCGATGTGTAATATTACCGATGACTGTTGAGAATACATTGAAACTACATATTCATAAAAACCAGCCCCTTGCAGTCTGCAGACTATATTGTACTTATATAGTTATACGGTTGATGTAATTGATAATTATGATTAATCAAACCTGGTGATGAATTCAATAAGTTAAATATATTTCCTAAGGCGATCGCATTACAACACTCACTTTTAAATTCTTCTACAGATTTCATACTATTTTAGCTGCAGTGTTTAGGAAGGACGGGTTCATTTTGTGTAATTTATACATAGAGAATAGAAATACATATTTAAGTTACTTATATCGAGATTCAAGGATACTACTCAACCATCAACTTAGTTCAAGTTCGGTTGTTAAAAAATGAACGAATTCAGGTCCAGTTTATACTTAGATTCATCGATAAAATTATTGTATTTTGTATCTTGTATAGAGATATCTTATCTTATAATGGGATAGTATTGAGTATTTTGTATATCAAATCGTGATAGGTATACATTTTTAGTTCATGAGTATCGTGACTCCAGCATTGAAAAAAACCATTTTTATTGTAAGATACTAGATATATAATGAGATACCTTGAAACATTCATTTTTTATTTTTTTTTAAAGACTAACAATTTTTATTAATAGAAAAACTAGTATTTAATTATACCTAGGATATCTTATATCTTACACACACACACACACACACACACACACACACACACACACACACACACACACCAGATCGGGATATACTATAGTCTTTCAACTTTTTTAGTACAATGTATTTTAGACATTTTTTAATATATTTATCATATTAATTTTGAATTTAAGATATTTTAAAATGTAAAAACAAACTGACTGCTATTATTATTATTAAATAAATACCAATAACTCAATACAATCAGCCCGATGATCCTACGTTATTGTTGCAAAGCATCATCAAATTAATTATCTAGGTAATTACTAGGTATTCATAATATAATTAACTATTAATTAATTTGACAAATTTGTACTAAATATATTTAATATCTGGAAATTGGAACAGTTATTTTTAAATAAAACTTCTTTGAATTTTAGTGGGTATATCTCACCTATCCAAAATTTTATTGTAGGTGTAGTATTCAATATTGTTATGATCATGTAGGAATATAAAAAGATTGGACAGTGTCTGCACTCAAACTGATTTCAGGTAATATGCCGATTATCGTACGATATAAATAACTAAATAAATAAAAATGTCGTTCAGAATTAATTATAACGATTAGTATAGCGAGCGCTTTCGTACTTGACATATCATCCAGTTTGGTTCAGGTAATGTAAGCATCATTTTTTTTAACGAATAAGTCTTTTTCTCATCGATATTTGGGGGCCATTTTTTCGAAACACTGCAATGAATACGTTAGTATTTCACTGACCAGATTTAAATGTACGTTGCAGGATAAGTGGAAGTTCAGGTCAAGTGTATTTGAACGACTCGTTACGAGATAAAAAACAAATGGCGAACATCAGCTGCTACATACAGCAGGACGATTACGTGCGCGACATGTTGACCGTCAGGGAATCTATGACGGTGGCCGCCCACCTCAAGTTACCTACAACCGTGTCTGCGATATCAAAGGCCAACCAAGTGGAGGACCTGCTGGACGCTTTGGGTCTGTCCGTCCACGGAGACACCGTTACCAAAAGTCTCTCCGGAGGCCAGAAAAAGAGACTGTCTATCGCTTTAGAACTCATAACTAACCCGTCGATATTATTTCTAGACGAGCCCACCTCGTGAGTACCAAACAATAGTATAAATACTATTTACTAAATTGTAAGACACCTGCTTGGGGTACCTAAATATCACTGTAAATATTACTTTCGAAGTGATAGAGATTAGTTCAATTGTATTTAGCAAACTACAAGACAAGAGGCTCTTTTGAATTTTGATTGCTGTATTTGGATAGGAATACACAGTTACAAAACACAGTTATTATATTTTTCAAAATTTTTTAAGTTCATCGAAATTGTTTGAAAACTAAATAGTTATTAAGCTATATAATATTTTCTCCCGAGTCACATACGTGATCAAAATACGTTACTCAGGTAAATTTAATTTTTATTTACACTAAAATGTATTTCTATAAAATATAACATGTAGGAGTGTAGGACCACGCTTACATGTTTGGTATTCGTCTTACAAACACACAATATAGCAAAATGTTATCAAAAGAACCAATCTTATGAATAGTTAGCTTCATATTGTTATAGTGAATTAAACTTTTATCAAACTATTATAGATGAGAAAATTATCTGTGTTTGTTCGTTGGTTATTTTAATTTTTCAGGTTATAAGTTTTAAGATATTGTAATTTTAAAATGATTACGACTCTTTCGGAAATTGAAATATCGTATGAACAAAAATAATGTTCATACTTTTTAGATTCTGACCAGAGCGATGAATGTATTGATTTTACCATTTATGTGCGTTTTTTTGTGTCTATATCATCACCTTTTGGGACCTTTTACTAATTACCAGTATGATAGGATAATGTATTAAATCTAAATATTTTACCATAGTGGTTTGGACAGCCAATCTTGCAGCCAATTTGTGTCACTGATGGCTGACCTAGCCCACAACCAAAGCCGTACCATGGTATGCACACTGCACCAGCCTAGTGCTTTACTGTTCGAAAAGTTTGACCAAGTTTATGCTTTGAGCTCGGGCCAGTGCATCTACCAAGGACCACCCAACTTTGTTATTCCTTATTTTGCCGAACGGGCCATCATATGTCCACCGTACCATAATCCAGCTGATTTTTGTAAGTAAAATATCATGATTTAATGATTTATTATTTGTTTACTTAAATTAACTAAAAATTGGAACATACTGAGGAAAAGTTGAAAAACAACTGCCAATCTTATGAGAAAAATAAATGTCAATAATACCTAACAGTCGTTAAACATATATTAGGTACTAATTAGTTTCAAAGTTTAAATACTATGTATTGGTCAACAGACCATTTTAATTCATAACATTTTGTGATACAAAAACACGTAAAAATGTTCTTATCATAATTTTAAAATTTATAGTATAGGTAACTACATAAAAAAATCATCTAATATATATTTTTTTTTTTAGTGATCGAAGTGGCCATAGGTGAATATGGTAATGACGTACTCGTCGAATTGTTCGATACAACAAAAATCAACAACACAAAATATGGTCTCAATAAGTGTCATACGATTTCTGGAGAAGACCACGAAGCAATAGAATTAGAAATTGGTGCGTTTTCTTCTTATTATAATATGTTGTAGCACAATTAATATAATAATGTCACTAAAATATAGGCACGATGATATTAATAAATTACAATGCAAATCTAATTTGTTTTGTAGGCTCGTGCCAGGAAGACAACAATAAAAATGAAGAACGGCCTTATAAAACAGAGCTTTTATATAAGCCTCCATTTTATGTACAGATCTATCATTTATACCTGCGGAACGTAACCATGCACAAACGTAACAAAGTGAGTAAACAATAATAGAATAATAACGTTGGTGGTATAATAAAATGGTAAATATTGTCGTTTAAATATGTAATGCAATTAGACATTAATCTTATTAAATGGATATATTATCGGGTGTTAATAAAACAATATTGACTCACAATTCATAGACCATTATTACATAGTCTAGGCAAAAAAATTGTGTTTATAAAGACAGCGAGTGTCCAATTGTTATCCGTTAGCAACATAGGCGACGATATTTAAATGGTGCACTATTATTATTGTCATTCATGAAATGTATAGGTACATTTAGTCGTACCGTCGCATATTCGACAAAAGTTCTATGTGACTCTGATAGAGTTTGGTTTGTCATATTATATATACTTGACAACTCTGAGACGAGTTACCATGAGTCACGGAGCTTGATTAAAATCATTTATAGACATTTTCAGAGATATAGGTTGATAAGGACGTTTGTCAGTAGGTACCTATGTCAAATGTTTCACTTTATTGCTACAATAACAAAGTGTTTAGCTACTGTTTAAGAAAATATCTACATACTGTCTCTATTTGGCTATTTATTAATTAGGTACCTACATATGCATTATTATTTGTTTTTCGTACGCTCATTAGTCATTATATTATAAGTTATAACTATATAATATTGTGTACGAGTATACTGTTATAAAACAGTTATTGAGTTCTATTGTTGATAATGTTAATAAATAATAATATTAATGGTTAGTTCAATTTATACTATAGTTACAATATGTATATTGTATATATTTATGTTAAGTTATAGTTTAACGGTTGTAAACTGTTTTTACTTTTTATTGCTCATTCACCGACAAATTTCATAGTGCGTATAAAAATTAAAAACAATTTTATTAACCATTATAGCTAAAAGATAATTTAATATTTTATTGATTGGATAAAATATATTTTAATTTTGTAACAAAATTTAATTAATTTCACAATGATATGTATAATTTAACCTATTAAACTCGAACGTACAGTGTTTTCTTAATTTGACATTCTGGGCAAAGCTATTAATGTATTGATTTTATAAAGATGTGTGTTTTTTTATTTGTGTCTATCATTAAGTTAGTTAGTTTAGTAATATTATAGGCTGACAGATAGTCTTTGCTCAGAATCGTTTTTCGCACACAATGATTTTATAACATTAAATTCAAAATCAACACATCGAAAATGAACTCTCTGGATACTTCAGCAGAGCGACATCAATTTATTCGCTTTTTATGTTTGTTGTTGGCAAATAGATCAAACGCTGCGCCTCGTATAGACGGGGGTCGATTGAATTTTCATTTCCACTAATTCCGAACAACAATTAGTAGGTAGAGCATATTAGGTACAATATGCATACAATAACATAAATTAGTGGGGTATGAAATAGCCTCTACGTGTCATGTCAACAAACCTTGTGGTATAATTTTCTACAAAACCTTTATTTGTTGGGCCCACTCGTAGGAGTATAATGGTACACTTACTTCTCCGTCAAGGCCGCCGTTATGATTCAACTGCCAATCGGCCATTGTTTACACGAGCTATGCAGTATTTAATAGTTTTTTAGTTTATTAAAACTAAATATCAGGCTTACTCAAAATCGGTGAAGAGTACTTACGAGAGAAAAAAAGCCCATCGTAAGGCCAGTCGAATGGCATTCGTCGCCTACCTCAAAATCTGAAACTTTGAGTAAATCTACGATGTCGTGGTTTAGACCATCGGTCGCCAACCGGTGGTCTGCTAGAAAATTTAGGTGGTCCGCAGAAAAATAGCTAGAAATCAGCTAGAAATTAATAAAGCTCTACGACTTGTAGTGACTACATTGGAGCGAAAATTGCACGAAATAAATAAAAATAAAACCTTTTTTTTATTATTTTACGTATGTATTTTTTTATATTGATTTGGTGTGAAATTGATCAGTAGTGGAACGGTATTTATGTAAAAAGCTATACTTGGTCCATAGAATTTAGAATATAGTTTTAGCGGTCCGCAAGGTCCAAAAGGTTGGCGACTGCTGGTTTAAACTACAAATAATAAAACGATTACTCTCGACCGCTGCGGTCACAATGCGATAACCATGGTTGAAAAACTTTTCAGACTAATTTGCTGTTGCGAATTGCCGTCCACTTCGTCGTAGCCCTCATAGTCAGTTACATGTACCGTGGAGTGGGCAACGACGCTGCTCGAGTACTCACCAACATGAAATTCGTGTACGGTTCCAATTTATTCTTGGTCTACACCGGTCTGATGGCCGTCATCGTTTCTTGTGAGCATATAATAATGTTATACGATACAATTATTATTGTATCGTGTATTATATATTAGGTACATTTCTTCGGCCTGCAAACTTATATAATATATTATATACTCATATATATCTATATACTTATTAACTTTACCTTTTGTTTGACATCATTGGATGCGATTTCCAGTCCCATTAGAGTATATGGTCTTGAAGAGGGAACACTTCAACGGTTGGTACACACTTTTCCCGTACATCATATCCGTATTGCTGGTTGAAATCCCGCTGCAGGTGAGATCACCGAACACGATATAACCCTTCCCCCCCTCTAGAGGTTGTCAAAATTGGTCGCAAATGTTGGAGAAACCCCCCTCTAAGCTCAGACGCTTGTCAGTTACCTCGGATTATTATTTTGTTTTTATTTTTTCTTCATAGATGTTGTGTTGTTTCGTCTACATCGTTCCAGCTTACGCGATTACCGACCAACCTTTGGAACTCATGCGATTCGGTTACTTCTCCGTTTTCTTGGTGGCCACTTCCTTGACGTCACAGAGCGCAGGATTCCTGTGCGGAGCAACTATGCCACTGAAGGTTTGTACCTGAAGACCATATTTTAAAATTTTTAATATTTTTTTTGTACTACTAAAAAAGTGTCTTGTGTCAATACAAACGTCTATTTTTCAAATGAGAAAAATGGATGTATAATTGATGATATCTCCTTTTTTACTGCAAATTATTTAGCGAATGATTTTCATGAAAATGTTGATGTATCTAAATCTAAATTTTAATGAATAGTTTTTGCAGAGTTATAATGTTAATAATTAGAATGTTTATATAAATATTTAACTGTACTAAAAATGGTTTTACAAAAATATAAACCATATATAATCGTATGTATATTTAAAATCGTCTAAGCTTACATATCTATTAAACATATTGCCATAGATTTATTAATATATAATCCTAAGTATACAAAATTTTATAACTCAAAAACTATTCCGTCAAAATTGTATTTAGGTACATTAAAATTTTCAAAAAAATATCAGCTAAATAATTAAAAATGAAACCCCCCTTCCAGTTCCTATTTGAAAAACCGAAATTTGTATTGCACGATTTGCACAGAATTATTCATAGTAAAATAAATCTCAAGTATTCTAAAATATGGTACCAAGTGTATTTAAAAATTCTAAAAATCAAAATTTGTATTTATGCATAGTTTAAGCATAAAAATAGACATTACATTTTGGTACATTGTTCAGGTGCTTAAATAAAAACTATATATTTGGTATATTCGGGGTTCAATCAAACATGAAACGCCGGCAATAAAAATCAGTTTTATGTAGGTTATCTATATTTATACTGAATTTTTGTTTCAGATGTCTGTGTTCATTGGACCAGTGTTTGTGGTGCTACTTTCCGTTTTCGGATTCGCTATAAGGTTCCCAGACATACCCTCCATGTATGTCTGGCTTCACCATTTCAGTTTCATTAGGGCGTCGTTCCAGAGTATTTTGTACTCACTGTACGGGCTCGGCAGAGGCGTTTTACCGTGCTCCGACGAAATGTACTGCCATTACAAGAATCCAGTGAAGTTTCTCACCGAAATGGAATTCGCCCGAGTTAACATTTATCCTGAATTTGTCTACATATGCTCTTTTTTCTTATGCACTTATGTGCTAACAACAACTGTCATATGGTACAGGCTGAACAAACGTTAGATCTCACTCGAAACCATCATACCCGCAATAAGATTGACGAGACCTCACATGTATCACCAAAGTGGTTTTTTTTCTGATATGTATCATATTTAGCCATTTAGGTATTATATGTTATAGTTATTTATGTGTGAAGTATGTTTAATGCAATTATTGTATTATGTCACAAAAATATAAATTATTTGATCATAAATTATTATGTATGTATATAACGTAATTTGAAAATCAAATTATTAATTTACAAAACCCTCTTAAGAGGGCGCTACCCATGCATTTGTTATCGCCATCTTATGCTGACAATCTGTTAGTTCTGATATTATTATAAATTGACCTACTATCAAACTTTTAGGTAAGAACATCATCTGTGCTTAAGCGTTGTCAATTTTTTCGATATTTTAATTTTCAAGCGAGAAATGAGCATTTTTAATTTTTGATATTTCACGCATCCATATCTTTCATGAAAATTAAAATATCGAAAAAATCTATAATCTATCCTACCACCCCAATCTTTTAATAAAAAACAATCAACCCTTTCCATTCTGGAAAATACCCTATAAAGCAACTAGTGTCATGATATTCTTCTCAATAGCTAAAATAATATTGTTTGTACAAAGCTAATGCGTTAAAATACTAAATAACTGTTAAATAGGTGTGATTACCAATGGGTGGCTTCTGCCATCAAAAATTTAATTTGTATATATTTTACACTTTTCAATTTTTACTCATTGTTCTTTACAGAATATATTGTAAGTACCATAATGAAATAAAAATGAAAAATAAAATGAGCTAATTGGTTTGCCCTTGTGATGTTTGCAAACTGTTGATGCTCCGCCGTAGATTAACATTCATAGTATTGTAATCGTGTTCCTAAAAACCTGTGTTTTAAATTATTTTAATATTATTATTAAAAGTGTTCAGAGCGAGCTATGTATTAAACACTTTTTTGTCCCGCCAAACTATTTGTCATATTTTACAATATACAATTTATAATTTGTTATGACGTGTTATTGTTAAGTTTTTTCTGCATACATATATTATATTATTATTCTGCAGTATTAAATTATAACGAAGCGTTTGAAATCTTTTAAGAGTACCTCAATCGAAGTGAACAACGGATTTGATTGTACAATTTCATAATCGAAACATTTAAGTGCAACACTATATTCAAGTACTATAATAGTTAAAGGTGCCAGGAATCTCCTCAAAGGACAACAGCAAATAGTAATCTATGAGAAAGAAAATAATCCATTCATAAATTTATTGATCACGTCACCAATTATTTTATAATGCGTAGTGTCCCAAGTTTTCTGGTCACGTACTGCTACAGAACATAAAATGCGATTGTGCTAAGTCTCCTGAATGTATTAAAAACCAAACGAAGTTTCGTTACACTCGCATTTATTAACAAGTTAACAACTTGTGTACATCCACAAAATGTTTTTAACAAAAATAACAGAAATTTAAATAATTTAATTTAAACAATAAACATAATAAATTACATTAAAAATAATAAATAATAACACAATTAAGAATAAGTCAAATCGGTTTACCATCACAAGATTAAAATATTAGTTCCCTTGAAACTTGACATAAAAATATTAATAGTTTATTTTTGGTGCTAATAACAAATTAATATTGCTAAGATATGGTTGTTAATCTTAACTTGAAATGTCAACAAATGGAGTCTTCACTGCCAGTACACGGTTACTTAACCTCTTCAGTAATGTGAAGAGGATACAACTTCAGAGGTCTTCCTTCATTTCATCCGGTTCATCGAAAGGAGCACTACTTTTGGTTATCAGATAAAAATCACCTCTCATCCTAAAAATAATAGAAATGTCATTCATGCTGTGTTTATTATTTGATAACCTATATACCTATCAAATGTCTAAAATATTACAGGATTCTGAGCGGAGAGTAGAATGTATTTGTTCTACAATGATGTGTTTTTTGTCTATTTTTATTTTGTTCAAGATACTATTAAAACTTATTTTAAGCTTTTTATATAGTTACAGTTTAAATAGAGTGTGTCAGTGGTATTGACTTAAGTAAATATAACAACCATATGCTTAAAATATAATAATATAAATATTATAAGAATATAATATATTCAATGTTTATGATAAAAATTCTTCCAAATTATTTTTAAATATAAATATTTATAGTAGGTATCACAATACATAATATATTATACACTGAAAAATATCTTTAGAAATAAAAATTGACGAACAGTTTCTGCTCAGAATTGTTTTTGTACGAATGGTTTATAATAAAATTCAAATCCAACACAACCAAATCAGTGACCAATTCAAAGCCTATATTATTACACATCAGGGTGACTTTCACGATATTTTTAACTGCATGTAATCTTCAAATTAATAAATATTATTATGTAATTTATCTTAGAGTATTACGTCAGTTGTATAAAAACAATACATTTAGGATAACTATAAGATTTTGATTACGAATTTCGAGATTCCCGTTAAAATTTTTTACGGATTGGGTAACCAACTTTTTAAAGTGATATTTAATTATATTAGTTATATTTGTTATATTTAGTTATATATATATATTTATATTTATTAGCAGTTTTGAAATCTAAGAGGATGGGTTTTTGAACAATTACTTTATAATCTAGGCGACTAGGCGTAACCTACATTATGTATACTATACTATATCTGCATAGTCTGACATCGTCTGGGTTAACATAAATCTATCTTTCCATCGTTTTACGTTTTATATACGCATTATATAATAATATAATATTTTAATGTTAAACCAAAAAACTGGAGACAGATACAACGAACCCTTAAAATCAGCAAATATTGTTAAGATTGGTATTCGTCTTAGAATGTTTACACAAAAAATAAAATATTCAGAATTTTAAGAAAGCAAATCACGATTGCAAATTATAAAAGTAATCATTGTTATTATGTTCATAAGTAATAAGTATTTTATTAAAATATATTTGTAAGAATCGGGCGAAATTTTTTTCGGGAGGAGGACACCCACACCCCCCCCCCCCTTCAGACAAACCAATATAAATGTATATACTTATATAAACATATAGATCATAAGTTATTTAAAAAATATATATTTTATTAAACATCTCATGCTTTCCACTAACTTGGGCGAAGCGCTGTGTCCCATTGGCGTTGAAACGTCACTGTCACAGTTGTACTCCACATAATCTTTCCAGGACTTGCACTTATGCCCCATCATCGAATCGGGGTGGTACACCGAATCTTCGTACAGTATATACGCCCTCGAGTGGCTGCAGCCGACTGAGTTAGAAAGACGATCATTATTCGCGGGTGAAGAAGGGACGTGGTATAATTTCATTGTTATTTGATATTATTATATCCTCATGGTATTTGTCACGAATTTTACGTTCTTAATTTCCTGTTTTATTTTTTAACGCTGTACCTAACTGAATATGACTATTTGGGAGTCGACCGGAGACTAAGCCAATACAATTTTAAATCGTCTTCCGGTAATTACCGCGGTAAGCTTTATCCCAAACACGTTGTTACCATATATAGCCCAAACTTACATATTTTATAGACTTTTATACTTACCGAGTCCGAATATCCTTTCGAGCTTCATACCGTCGTAGCAGCCAGGTTGAGGCACACTGCCGCCGTTCGGGAAGAAGTCTGCGTGCCCCACCGAGTGATAAATGCCCGTGGATCCACCCGCCGTGTGGATAACGTCCACGAACAGAGCGTCCGATTTTTTCAGTCCTTTTTTCTGCAGCTTTGCAAACTCAAAGCCCGGCCCCGCAGGATCAAGACCTAAGGTGAGATGTTATTTTCTAAATCATCATTCGAAGACCAACCATTGCACAGTCCTAACATCGATTCTTGCACATTGCTCACCCGTTATCCTTCCTATCTTGCCCGACTTCATAAGGGACCCACACACTCCAGCAATGTGGGCACCAAGGCTGTGCCCTATCAGGTGTATGTCCGCTGGTTTGATGACGCCGAGGTCCACGATATTTTTCAACACCCTGGACAGTCTGGCCCCTATTTTTGACGTCATCAATACCGGCAACAAGTAATTCCGGAATGATGCTATGCCACCCCAGTCCACGGTTATCACGTTGTATCCGCCGACCTTTACGTAAGCTGCTTGAAAATATATCAAAATATACTTATACATATTATATTCATCCTGCGTCATCCACCTGGCCAACTATATTTCTACTTAATAGTATTATAGATGAACAAGAGAAAAATTAATGTCAGTTTATAATGAAGTGTGTCCGTAACAAATCGATTGGTAAACATTTTATTTTTTGAATTGAAACTTCTTTACTCCAAAAATGTGTGTAACGCTGAGAGCATGACAGTATGCTTTGAACAACTGAGCGTCACAATAATATTTCCGAAATCGACTTGAATAAATACCTTTATATGGGTATAACCCGCTAAGATCATGTTAATTTTGGGTTTTTAGCGCAATATAGGTTTTTTTAGTGCTCAGTGTTCACTGATAACAAGTTCTAAAATAATGAGACATGCAATAAATATTGAATCGTGATCTAAACATTAAGTAGACAGACATTATAAATACAGACTTATTTTATTTGTTTCGTTACTTTACATTATTTGAATTTAAAAAACTGGTATAAAATATACAGATTTTGAAGTTCGACATTCGAAGTTGAAGGAACAGTGTAAAAAACTGCTTAACTCACAGCGGTCCCGACCGTATACACTTTTTTTCAGCTATACATTTTACCTGTTTTGATACAAGACACGCCATCCTCGTGTATGATGGAGTCGAGCCATCCGTGTATGATCACTTTTAAAGGCAAATCCGGAATCCAATGTTTTGATAGTTCGTATTCGTGATTGAATTTTATTTTTATCGACTTATCGTTACCAATTTTCCTAAAATCGAAAGCCTCAATTAATCTTAACTTCAATGTCGATACAAACACTCTTATCATATATAAGAATTATATTTTTGTAGTATAATTGTACTGTATAGTAATTAGTAGGTAGTATTGTATTAAAAGCAGGCACGTACTTCAAAAACTACCTAGGTATATTAATTATCTGCAGATTTGATTTAATATTATAATATTTATTAATACCTATACATACATTATCAGCAAACTAAATCAAAAATTATCTCATGTTCTATTTTTATTTTATTTTAAATTAGTTAATTACCCAAATAATTATTAACGAATACACCAGGCAAACTATATATTTTAATGTTGGTGTGTACCTACGTGCATTTTCAGATTTTATGTGTCTAGAATAATGGACCAAGAAAACCCTATCCAGCTGGAGATTCGAACCTCCAATTCGCGATATTAAACTTAAATGTTGATCTTCAATGATTGTTGAAATCGCACTGATGAGTTTTGATATAGTAAGCTTATCTTGGTTAGTAATACTTAATACCTATACAATCTAATTATAATTTTACGTCACTCTATCACCGTGTTCGTGCGTGAATCAATAATTGCATTTTAGCATAATTAAAAATAATAAAAATAATTGATTTGACATTGGTAGTCAACGAAATTGATAACATGATTATTATTTTTGAATCTCAATGTTGCTGAAGTTGGTCAATTATATTAAAATATTTATAATCCATCTATGGAATGTAAACCATGAAGCATTTGTCTGAGTAACCTTAGCTCAAAATAGATTGTGCAGTTATGTATTAGCCATAAGGTACCTATATGGCTGAATGGCTATATGTTAATTTATTGTTTTCAAAATTAATAGTATCGGAACAATAGTCTCACACACCCACGATGCAATGGCCCACTTAACTCTTGAATTAGCATCACTGTATTTATTGTTTTTTTTGTTTTTATTTTGACCGTGTGTATATAAAATGGGTTTATTGTTTATGCTGTCGTTTCTACTTCTCCCTTATAAGTCATTACAAATCATAAAAAAGCGTTTTAGCGAGTACTTAACTACTTAACAACGACAATATAATATGCTTAAAATTTACGTTCAGGAGCACTGAAGAATATTTTACCTCACACAATTTTACACTTCGAAAGAATATTACGTTCCACTTAAAAACGCATAGCTGGCACATAACAATAATCAAGTTAATGTTGTCTACATTGTATGTATACATAATAGATATATGTTTTATCTGCCCGCCTCGTGATTTTTTTCCTGTTCAATATTGAACCGGCTGAATATATTTTACTGCTCAATGTCAGTGGTTCTTAAGCTATGGACAGCAGCCATCTCACCACGGGGGTCCACTCATGCCATAAATCCGTGACGCTATCGGTGGTTCCGACTACGGACGATTGGTGTTATGAATGAGATTTATCGTACAAAATTTTATTTAAAAAAATAATCGAAAGAAAATTTGGAAGGGTATCTGTGGTTTGAAAAATTCTTATATTTAGGGTCCACGTACTTAGAAAGCTTAAGAACCACTGGCTTGTACTATTACTAATATTATTATTATTAATATTATTAGATCATGGTGTTACATACGAATTCCAGTATCTGATGTCCACGTTTTTATCGTTGACAGACAACGTTTGTATGTATTTTGCATCAAACCCATCCCATCTGACGACCGCTTTTTGTACGAAACGCAAAGTACTCCTCACGAAACATGCTAGAGAGGACAAACACACATAGAATACTCAGAAAATATCATGCCAAATATTATAGTATTAATAAGAATACGTGTATTAGACGCGATTACTGCGCACAGTAAAATGGTGAAATCCTTAACATATTCGATTCCGTCAAGGTTGAGGGCCAGCTCTTAAGATTTTGTAATGTCACTTAATGGTATAATTATTAATAATTTATATATAATGAATGGTGAGTGGGTAAAAGAGAACAAGTCAAAATCACTACTTTTCTAGAAACGAAAAAATGTAGGTATCGTTTATTAATGGGGATTTAGTAAATTACATAATATACCTACATAAAAAAAATGTATTTATGATTATTTTTTTTATATTAAATTTCTTTTTTGGGGGGGGGGGGGGGGTTATAAGGCTTCAACATCTAAGGTCATTAGCGATTAGCCTATACAAGTTACATATTGATCTTAACACTATGTTGGCACACTATATTGAGGGAGTTTATGAAATATATTATTATTATTATTTATATTTTTTTTTATAATCGATCAGTTGTTTGATTAATTGCGTGATTTTTGACGTTAAGAATGTGGTGGAGCATATTAGCTGGTGGATATTGGAGAGAGCTCGGCGAGGTGGGTGTATACAATATTATGGGTGAATAGACTTTGAAATCAAAAACTAGACTATAATAATATAACATAGTGGACTAATAAGGGGTTGTTATACTGATGTACACTCTACCCGAAGTTTAATGGGATTTGAAACTACTCACAGGGTAGATACCTACCTATAAACGTAAACAGGTGGTGAATACGTGAGACTATATGACACACTATCGACACATAAACGCGGTATGTGTACGTATCGCCTCTCCGTTGTTCAAACCGACAAACCCTCATAGTGTGAGTGGCCGACGTCTACGTTTGTTTTGCTTACAAACTATGATATTCTTTTGACTACTATAAAAAGTTATGTCAGACGGAATTTCGAGCGATGCGACCAGTTTTTCTATTCAGTTACAATATGTGGGATAGTCAAAACTTTTGCCCCCCCCCCCCCTATCAAAACTAAAATGATATCACCACCTATCTATTATACAAAGCGGCCAAAGCTAATCGATATGACGACAATTTTATGAGTAGTGATTACGACATTCCGATACAATTATCACGAGACCATCGTCGTCTGTGCATATAATAATATTATGACGAAAGTAAATTTTTTCTCTGCTACCCTTTTTTACACCGATTTACCGTTGTTCTGTTGGACCACGAGCACGAGAATTGTCGTCGTGAAGTTGAGCAGCATCCTTCGGCGCGTTTGACGAGGCGATATCAACAAGTGCGATCGAAAATCGGATACGATAATTTATACCGTACACACCATCTATGAAATATGTGTTTGCAAAAATCGACGGCTCTGGCCCGGACTGCTGTACTCGATCGGTTTCGTCATAGTCATTTCGAACATATTATTACTATTGTTTCCGGCGTTAAATTTTTACGAAAAAATGTATTATTATTATTATTATTATTAATAACAATCGGTTCGCTTACGCCGCCGCCCTTCGGCGTACTGCACAACGACAACAATTACCTATATAGGTATAGGTGTCGTCACTTAACCCGATGGAACGCGATATAATTGACGGAAACACATTTGAACGATATATTATTATTATTATTATTATTATTATTCCATTATTATTATAATTTTTATTATTGCAACGCATTACCGCGGGATCGGTGTGGGCACAGCTCGTTTGGATTTTACACGGTACGACACATTTGCGTGACGTCTGCGGTGTACGCTAGTAACGAACGAAACGTAATAGTATAATATTTCACACATTACCGCGATGCGCAGTACGATAATGATTGATAATAACATGACAATTACTACAATACTAATTATCATTCCGAGCCGTTTGCTGAACTCGACACTAACTCGATAATATGATATTATATAGAACACCGCCGACGTGTGGCATAACATTTGGGAGTAACGAAATATTCGGCTAATTTTCTTTTTCCGGTAAGCGGCGTCCGTTTATCGTAATAATAATTATTGTTGTAATCGATAATAATTATAATAAAAATAATAATAATAATATTAAGCCAATACCATACTCGACGTTTCACCGAAAAACTTAAGTAAAATTACCTAGGTAAAAAGTAGGTAGATATTGTCTTACCTATTGATATAATAACGCACTGCGAAAAGTAGAAACACCCGAAGGTCCCGCTGCGGTCGCCAACTGTCTAAAAATTGTATTATATCAGTTTATCGACAGAAAATTATAACATAATCATCGTAATTACAGCAGTAATAATATATAAATTATTATAAATTGTTTAGTTCGAGATAGCAGTTGTAGTGCGTTCATTATCCAAATCGTTTCAGCTACAACAATCAGCAATCAATGTGCGTACGTATAGGTACAGTCATATTGTAATTATTTTTTATTAAACAGCGGTGCGATACTTACTGTGATTATCGTTTAAATTTTTAAAGGCGCGTTTAATCTATACGGTGATTCACTGATTCATCAACCATGTCCACCCCCATTGTTTCGTTTAATAATGAATTTGTTCAAACTTGGAATTTTCAAATACCACATATACCAATTGTTGAGATTTTTTTTTCTACCTGTGGTGATACAAACTTTTGTTTTTAAAATAATAACCCGTTTTTTCACTGTAAATTATTTAGTCCATAATTTTTTTCAAAATTTTAATTTACCTTATTCAAAATTCAAACGAATAATTTTTCAGGCGTTCAAATGTTTAAAGTACTATGGGATAGTAGTCCTTAAAAATTGTTTTATAATTAGGTATATAAAATAAGTCCACCTAATATCTGATCTGGTATTTATTATGCTTGGATCATTTAAATAGATTATAAATACTGATATATTAATGTAACATAGTATAATTTTCAAAAAATGTCATTGAATGTTTCAAAAATGTGGCCGAGCGTGATTACTGCTTAGAGAATCATCCTGTATATATGAGTCATCCGAGCGATTTTAATACATTTGATGACCTTAATAATAAACGATGATTTTAGGCATCACTACGTCTGTGCTGCGATATCGTGAAATCAAAGTGTAATGTGAAGAAAAGCCATGATTACATTTTTTTGACGCCCGAATAAAATTAATACGGTCGGCTGACAATGCACATTTAAAGTTCACTAAGTTCAGTATAAACATTTAGATAACCAACCAATTGTCGCGTCGATATGCGGTTACTATCTAGGTAGCTATGTTCATTTCGGAAAAAATGTAAACATTTCAATTTATTTTAGTCAGAAATCATTAGATAATTATGTTGTTGTCTATAAACTAGTTTTAACTAACCATATCATTGTATTACAATTAAATTATTATTTTAATAATGACAAACTATATAGCCAATACAGTTTTACTGTAATAATATCAAGTACGACGAACATCCACTGAACATTTCATAAATTAATGCATTTAATAAAACAGTTTATTATTAAATATGATTAGTAAGTAGTTTGTGCACAATAAATCGATTAATTTATTAAATTTTAATGGATCATTAAATTAATCAGTTTTTTTTAGTACAGCCGGGCATAAATGAAAATTCTGTTCCAAGAAATAAGAATAAATCATTATTCGTTTATTTGCGTTCCATTACGCTATAGGTAGTATAAATAAATATTAGTAATTTATTAACACTAACATTTTTAAGAGAATCAAAAAAGTTGCTATGCTGTATAATAGTTGCAGGTGTTTGGCGTATATCATTGAGTAGATGACATATAAGTTCAATGATAAATTATTGTAAACGATGAAAAACCATTCGCAGTAGAGACTGTAAATATCCATATAATACAGGGATATTTTTTAGTATGTAATCTAAATGATCATAAAATATTTATGTATACTTACTTTAAACTTTTTTTAAAATTTTTATGAGAAAACCCTATGAGAAACCTTATAGTTGACCTTTTCAATCATTTTTTAATAAAAGTCATAATAATTAATATATATATTGTCGTATTACCTACTAGTTGTACTTAATCATCAAATACCTAATGTTCAGTAATATGTAACCTAGAATTAAAAAAATGTGTATTTTAAGACTCTTAAACGTAGGAATAGATAGTAATTAGGAAAGATCATAAAAATCGAAAGAAATTGTTTACAAAGGGGGGGGGGGGATTAAAATCACTGCTGAATAAAAATCACACATTCACCAAAGTTATAAGAGCCTCTTAAAAATAGTAAGTTGGGTTTCGGCATCTCTTACTAATGTCTCGAACATACCGTTCTAAAATTTTAAAAACGAATTCATCTCGTACATTTCTGCAGTGTAACCTAACTACATAGTGCATAGGTATAGTGGTATACATTATAGTAAAAGTAATGTCTAATAAGTATTAAGTAGCCGTAAGTAGTACAGTTTTATCACATATAGGTAATTCTTATAGTACATAAATATTACCAAATTAAGTACCCCTTAATAATGGCTAGCGTTTTAGGGTCACTTGAATACCGTAGAAAAAAGTTTTCTAAAGCAGTAATAAGTGATTTTATTTTTGATAATAGAAATTTGTTGTACATTATATAATTTTTGTTGGTTATGGGCAATAAGTGGATAACAATATTTGAATAATGAATATACGTAAACGATGAGGTCCTATTCAACCCTTATTGACAGTAATTATTGACCAAGTGGAGCATGCTTAGCTGTAGCACATACTATAATACCTAAGGATTACAACTTCAACTATAAAATCAATTGTTTTGTGTTGAAGATTTCAATACATAATTTAATACATTAACAAATATTGATAAATATTGTTTATTTGCTTTTGGTGAATAAGACTATGTACAAACAACGAAAAAAAATTGTATTCATAGCATGTATTGTACCTCTACAATTGATTATTATAATATGACATGTTTTTTAGTTTGAACGTATTCATTATTCTATTTGTAATATTACATAGTCGTATAAATAAGCTTAAAAAAAACCAAAAGGACTCGATAGGTTGGTCTTCAAGTAGAAATCACCCAGAGCCAGATCACTAGAAAATAGCAACATTAATTATTGATTAGATTTATTGACGCAGATACCTAATCACAAAGTGTAAATTAAAATATAAAAAAGTGATTTAATAACTAATCACGTCAAATAACTGTCTATTAGTTACTGTTTCGATTTGTACAATCGATTCTCATGAGATTTTATTATTTAATCCAAACTATTCAGAATCAGAATTATTAATCAATGTACCTAATAGGTAGGTAAATGCATTCTTGCTTATAAAACAATATGTGTAGGTTTATGTCACCTATGTAATTATTATCGTCCGATAAAAGTCGTGATCAAAATACTAAAATAATTGAAATTTCTGTACGAAAAATAGTATCATTGATTATTAATCCAAGTACTGAGTACAATAAATATTAATTATGTAATCAATGAAGGTCTCAGACATACTATGTAATTAGTTTGATAAATACCTACCCTACGTAGGTATGGATTTCAAATGTTTACATTTTTCTCTAAAAATGTGATTTAGGAACATTGGATTAACTATTAAAGTTAAATCGTTTGCAATAATTATTGACCATTATGGATATTGATTCCAGCCGCCCAGCTCTTTTTGGATATAATATATTCACCTGTATGTTGCGTCGTGTCCCATCAGTGTTTTAGAGTTGTTTACACACTTGTTCGACATAAAGGCCGACCACGCATTACATCGTGTAGCGACTAAAGATTCTCTATTATACACTGAGTCGGCATAGAGATCATAGGCTCTCGAATGACTGCCAAGTACTGTAATCAATTCAATAATGGTATAAGTTATTGATATGTACGGTTGAGTACGGTTAATTATTTAATAGAGTTATTTAAAATTGCCGTGATACATTGGCAGGTACATTAGTTTTAATACGTGCACATTTTCGTGACTTTGAGAGGTACAATGTGTTTACATTCTGTGTATAGATTATAGATACGTAGGTACATAATTTTCACCAAATTAGCGTTAGATTAAAATATTAAATTTTATATTGGAATAAATTCTCATATTTGATATACATTTATTTGCAAATATCAAATATGAAACTAATTTATTCATTATTACAAAAAAAATGTAGAAAATAATAATTTATATTTATAAATGTTTCATAATAAATACTTTATCTCCAATAAATATTTCTGAACAAGTGGATAACATTTGCTTCAAAAACGATTTATTAATTTTTGCTAAACAATATCATTATTTAAACTTGTTTTTTAAACGACAAAGTGCACAGGTAGGTACTCACTGGCATCTACCATCTTGAACAACAAGAGATCATATCCTGGTTGTGGCGCTACTCCACCGTTGGGATAGAAATCGACGTGGCCCATACTATCCATAAAACCAAGAGTCCCTCCAGCAGTGTGTATCACGTCCACAAACTCGGCATCGTCTTTGCTCAAGCGTTCTTTCTGGATAGGAATATTCTCAAACCCCGGGGAGGCTGGATCCAAACCTATTAAATCACGGAGGTATAAAATACTGTGTTATATATTATGCTCTCGCGTGAACTGTAAATATGAACTTAATTCATTGGTTACACACATACGTAAGGTATGATTAAGGAACCTATGCAAAAAAAAGATTGAGTACTATGGTAAAAATGTATAAGACAAGCATAAACAATGAACACTCCCGACTTAATGTATAACAGCTCATAGGCGCAATAGATATTTCACAAATAAAAAAAATGTTACCAAAACAAATTAATAACCATCATTGACATCATCAGGCGCTCAAAAGAATGTCTCGTTTTCCAACTATAGAATCTTATTTAACATTATTTTATTTTTAATTGTATTTTAACCATAGTTGTGTAGAAGTAATATTCACTATATAGTATATATATATATTATATATATACAGTACCCTACGTATAGTCAAACGTTAAATGATGCATTTGAAAATTGTTTAATGTATATTTGTGACTATACCCTTCTATTTAATTTATATTGGCAAGCTGATCACAAAATATTCATTTTTAATCAAAGCGACCGCGACTGTCATGACTCACGAATGTCATGTTTTTTTTTTTTAGTCCGGTTAATAATTAAGCGTTGGTCAATATGTACTTTGAGTGTTGTTTTGGAATCAAACATTTGGTTACAATAATAAATTACTTGATCATTATTTAACATTTAGTATATAATCTAGTCTGCCGGGGAATCGTAAGTTCCTGTTGTAGGTAAATAATTACACACGTTAATTCCTGCATGATATGAGATGTGTAAATCCCAACACGAATATAAAAATGAGATAATATGTTAATTCCTACACCAATCGTACACGTATCTTAAACAATTACACTGATCTTGTATCTGTGATTATTGGAATATACTAATAATTACAATAGTGTGAAGTAGGCCAAATTATAAAATGTATGATATATACCTATTATGATTTTTTTTAAGACAGTATCATCAGTTTGATAACTTATAATAATATATTTTTCTACAGTAGGATCTTACACATGTCGCTTTTTTCACCATGTAGAAACCAACGTATGTATTTTGTTTACTTGCTAGGAACTTAAATTCACCCAAACTGCTCACCGGTGATCCTGCCGATTTTTCCCGACTTAAAATTAGAACCACACGACCCCATGACGTGGGCACCGAGACTGTGGCCTAATAAATGTATGTCAGACGCTTGTGTCCCTGTGTATGCGACCATACGATCCAAAAATTCGGCGATCACTTTACCCACGGGTGCGGTCAGAATAGCCGGCTTGTGATAGATGATATCTTCTGCGATCTTGCTCCAATCCACCGTGACCACGTTGTACCCTCCAACATCGACATAAGCTAGAAAATATTATGTAAACATATTGTCATTTGTCAGAGGCTAACATCATCGCATGGTTTGGGAATTTGGGATATTATACTTTATAGGTAGGTAGTAGGTACCTACTTATAACACAGATTACACAAACATTTTTATGTAGTCTGCAGTGCTGTATGGACAACATAATTTTGTATTAGTTTATTTGATCGTACACCCGTCACCTGAGCAATTCATATTTTTTTTTTTTTTTATTGATCCTTAGCTTTGGTGACAAGGATTATTAGCTTTATACCTACATTATATTTTATTTACTTTTGGTAACAATTCAATTCATAATTAATTAAATATTTAAATATGGTTTATCATTTATATCGTTGACCTTAAGATATTATGCTAAATCGTGCTTACAGGCACGATTACAACAATCAGCGGCTAACATACAACGTACCGGTTTTAATGACAAACACTCCAGTGCAATTGTCGTCTGACGCAAGCCATCCGTGAGTAATGACTTTTAAAGGTAAATCATCAATCCAATAGTCGAGTACACTTGATTCATTACCAAATTCAATTTCTATTGGCTTATCATTTCCAAGAATACTATTTTGATAAATAAATGTCTATTTTCAAAATATTGTCAAGTGTAAACTTAAAAATAAAACGATGATAATATTATTTTTACATTTAAAAATCAATATTTTAAAATTTTAAAATAGATGACTTTTATACAAAAATCAATATCTTAATATTGAATTAATGATATATTATTTATTTCATATACTTTGTCCAAATATTATATTATTGTATCATAAGTTGATTGGTCTTAACAAATATTATGATCACACCTAATTTTTAATTCGAGCTTTTCAGACAAACTAGTTGAAATACTCGACAATATATTTTTATAGTGCGCGAGGGTAGCATCTGGGTAATATAATGTTTATGATTTATTTAATTTATTATGATTAGCATCTCACTTGTTAAAATGATCAAGTCCTATCTATACATATTTATAAGTATATATATTTATAATATGTGTATAATGCACCGATAACAATAGAACTGATATTATTATATTATAATACTAACCATATGTCTTATATTTTCATATTCAACAAATGTCAACTAGATCAAAAATAGTCAAATGTTTTTCGAGTGTTATACCGCGTATAGTAGTATATAACAACCAACAAAATGATGAAAATTAAAACGTGTGTTAATCAATTTTAATATATTCTATGGTTATTACTTATTGTATGCTATTCAATGAAAATTATAAGCACTATGTATGCAAGTCTAGTAGCTATACTTTTAATAGAAAAAGTCAAAACAACAGAATTATAAAATATGAATAGATTACGTGTTGTAATATTTGTCGTTTCGCACGTAAATGACCTATCTATATTATACTATAGGTAGTAGACTTTTTTAATTTTTTTAATTTTGATATTATTGTTATATATTGTACAGATTGTTTTGTTGACATGATAATCACGTGTTTAAACAAAACACAACTACTCCGAAGTTCGTGCATACGTACTAGTTCCAATAGAGGAAATCCAAATCATGTCCATTGACAAATAATTTTTGTTTGATATCTCTTCGGGAACTGTAAATGAGATCATTTGGAGTATCGTCATCTTTTCGTCTGAATATTAGAAACTGAGCTAGAATGTGAGAATAATATTATAATATGTCATAAAATATTTTTATTTTTTATTTTTTACACTAATAAGACAAATATAATATAATATTATAAGGAATTTTCTATTGATGAAAAAGAACCACAAGCAATTTATTTGATCTATAAACAATAAACATGAGTTAAACGAGTCTCATTTATCTATAATAATTGTATGCATTATCATATTATAATTTCGTTTAGATCGTGATCGACAACACGAATTAAGAATATATTATTAATTCATGATCTACAGTAATATATTATTACGGTTATCACAACTGTTTACCAACATAATATTATGTGTTTGAAGTGAAATCGAGTAAGAGTGTGTTATTATAGTTATATACAGACCGTAATGGATCAACTGGAACACCAAAAACAGGACTGTTGCAGCGGTTATTACGTTCATATTACCAAAACGAAAATGTTCGACACCGAATACTGTGACTATACATTTATACTTAAATAATGTATATATTATATATATTGTATATATATATATCTATTTTGGGAGTTAAGGTCCCGTTGTAGCTGACAAGTGCGCTTGTTTATATATTATTAATTATTTAAATTAGATTTACTCACAAACGTTTGCATATCTTGTGATTATGTTATTATTCGTTTTTTTTTTTTGAGGACCTAGGGCAATCTACTCTGCAATGATCGTGTGTTTACCTATATTTACGTACGTCCGAATCGACTCATTAGTTATTGCAATCAACCTGTACGCTACGGCTGTTGCCATAACAGACCAACAAAACAAATTTAACAACGTCCGATTCTTGAAATACGTATATCGATCGATTTTGAAACCTATACATATATATTATATATAGTCTAGTTAAATGATCAATGTTTTGAGCATGTGGTATGTGTTTGTTTAAATCATTGCAGACTTTCGTGATTATATTTTATTAAATGTGTTTTATACATGATTATGTACTTTAAACTGCAAATGTATATTATAAAATACGTAATACGCACATCGTCGTCATTCGTAGTGAACTTTAAAAATAGATTTTAGATTCTGAGCAGAGCGATTAATGTATTGATTTTACAATGATGTGTGTTCTTATATTTATTTTTTTTATTTTTTATTTTTGTTGTGTCTGTCATCGCGGTTTCTTGCAGTAAAAGTGCTTCGATTTTCTTCAATAGCAGATTTTCTGGTAGGAAAGTGAATCAAGTTGGTGCATTCGGGAGGTCATAATATTCCCAATAGTTCTCAAAAGCAATAGGAAAGAAAAAGAAAAAATTAAGGAAAAACTGGAATTTTTACGCAAGACTATTTTTCGGAAAAGCGATTTTGGTTTTTAGCATAACTCTAACAAAAATGACCTTAAATACATGAAATTTTCACTGGATATTTGTGTAAGCACTTTCTATACACCATAAAATGTTCAAAATATTTTGTTGAAATATTTATAGGCATATGAAATTTTCGTTTATTATTTGTTTTGTTTTTAAACTAATGCCGATAAAATTTTTTTGCTCGGTCAAATAACTTCAAAATGTAATTCAAGATTCTTCATAAGTTTTTGTTGGTGTAAATTAAGAAAAGAGTTGAGCGTATATCCACAATAATTTTTTATAAGTGTTTGAATTTAGATTTCGTAAAAATCACGAAAATTAGCAAATTATTTTGAGTTAGAAACTCATATAAAATTTTCATTTTATGTTATCTATGATTTAAAAATTTAATACAAGATTCATTATAAATTTGTATACTTTTATCAAAAAAAAATTCTACCAGAAAGTCAAAATGAATTTTTATGAGCGTTTGAAGTTGAAATTTTTACAACATTGGACATTCACTCGATTTCTCTCGTAGCGATTTTCTTTTTTTGTTGTAATTCAAAAACAAATTACTGTAGACACTTGAAATTTACACAAAATGTTTATTTCATCAATTCATATCATTTTTAAAATTTTAAAAATATTCTGGCTCGTTTTAGGCTGTTGATGGACATTTCAATTTTCCTTTTTTTCATTTTTTTTTCTTTGAATGTCAATAAAATTGTATTGGTTGGGTCAAAAAGCATGACAATTTAATGCTGGACCCTTGATAACTTGTTGTCATAGCAGTTGAAAAATATTAAAAATATATAAGCACGATTTTTTTTTTATATTCACTTAAAGTTCAAATTTTGACAATATTTATCAAATTGAAAATGATTTTGTGGTTAAAAATGTATAAAATTTTCAATTTTTATAGCTAAGAATTGAAAATTTAAAACAAGGTTCCACTTAAGCAGTTTTATTTGTAGCAGTTATTTTTTATAGACATTTTCAAATTTGGACAAATTTGCATGTTAATATAAAGAATAACGGTTATCATTTTGTTGTAATTCGGTTCCAAAACAGCCCAATTTTACATAGGTATATTCAATTTTTTCCAGCATCACTGATACTTTAAGAATAATATTAATTCAACTTACCGGCTACCATATTAATAATAGGTAATAACAATATAAAATATCCTGAACTGACATACCGTCTCCTCTCAGAATCGTTTTTCGTATACAATGATTTGGTATCATTGAATTCAAATTTAATACCATCCATTACAGAGACATCTTAGACACGTAATGTACAGCAGAATGACATGCACTTACCCGCTATTTTTTTTTTTGCTCATGATAATAAATTGTGAACAACGATTTAACGGTGTGTCAAAAATTATCGATCCTACTCATTGCACCATTCAAAACATACATTTTAATATTTTATTATACATTGCAATCAAAAAATGTAGGTAAGCGCCAGAATATTAGATAACCTATACCAAAAGCGATTCCAATATATAGTGGTAATACAACATTATGATATTTAAGTTATTTTGGTACCTATTTGTAGGAGACTTTGTGTCTTAGTGTTGATTTTTAGCGACATTTTAACAATCAACATATTTTAATTCGTCGTATCTAGTCATAAAAAGATTTTATAGACTTGAGAGGCGTGTTACAACTCCCAAGTCTATAGCCACTCATTCAGTAAGGCAAACGCATACGCAGTCATCAAATAAACCGTTGATGGATCATATCAAAATAACGAATCGTCGTGGAGCCATATAGGCCTATAGCAAAAAATAAAATTCTGTGACCATATTTATCTTTGAGTTAAAGATTTAACATCTGAGATCATTGCCCTAGGTTATTTTAGTAGGTTTATAACTGTGAGGAAGGGCATGGTTGGTAAGAACACTACGAACACGTGTATATGTCATGTGGCGAGGTTTTGTCGATAAAAATCAGGGTGGTCATCCATCCGGGAGCTAGTGACACTAGCTGATGCTTGACTTCAGAACACATTAGTGACTGATACGTCATCAGTAGTTGAACAGTTGGCCTTATGTGTTCTGTTGACCTTGACAGTTAAAATTAAAATAAAAAACAAACAAATCGAGCGAATTCATGGTATGATAAAAAATTAAACCAGGAAACCAGCTACTATAAAATAACTGTTTTTATAACATATTATGCTGATTATTTCATGAATGAAATGGAAATTAAATTTTTGTCGCACTCGGAAATTTTTAAAGCTAGTAAAATAGTTCAATGTTATATTATGTATATTATGACGTAGGTAGTCTAATATACTTATGTAGTAATATTAACAAATATTATTATTTATAAGTGTATATTAAAATTGTTTTCTCTTTCTAGGGTTTTACTATTAATTTTCTTACAATACAATTATAGCTGAAGATGGAGCATTTCCTTTTAAAAGATTTGTTGAATTTTACTACCCAGATGTAGAAAACTTTGATATTTCATTGGTCGAGCCAAAGTTGTGAGGGAGCAAACTAAGCAGAACTAATAAAGTTCCAAAATCAGCTGTTGAAGCTCTTATTGAGTGTGATACACCTATATTTCCTATTATTAAATTTAAAATTTTTAAAATTGTATGTATATCGCAAGGGTCTCCGCCACACCTGAATGGATGTTTTATTCTCTAAAAATAGTAAAGATGTATTTAAGAAATACCATGTCTGAAGTAAGAATAAGAAACTCTAATGTTTTGTTCATTGCGATTAAAAACTTGTCAAGCATTTTAATAATAATTAATTAATAACCATATTTTTGTCATAAAACAGGATAGATTGAACGAATTAACTATATTAGCTGCCCATAAATACATACAAATTAACATTGGGAAAATAATAAACAAACTAGCAAACATACATAGGAAATTGAATTTTGTTTTATAAATTGAACAATGAATGTTAATTACATTTGTATGTAAAATTGAATTGTGTACACAATTACGTTTAAAAAAATTAAAGCCCTAAAAGCGGGATGTTCTCTAACTTAATCACCGGGCAAAGCGCTCCTCCTTTTTATGTTTATTACAAAAATTGTATATCCTTTCTCCCGAACAAAATCATAACTACGAAACTAGTGTAATTAGTTGAGTCATATACGCCTATTCGCCATTCGGTACAGCTAGGTACCTACGTATAGATCATTATTATTATGTATTAACTGCGATTGCCAATGACACTACCGTAACACTAGCAAGCATAGTATTAATATACCCATCATAATATAGTGTTATCATAACTGCATGGTTTTAAAAATGACAAATAATGTTACACATGAAGACATGAAGCGTAATAACAAAACGATGAATTTATTTAAGTCAGCTGCGTTTGCAATAAAGCCAATATTGATTCAAATGGGTTTCTCTTTTTTACATGTCATACTATACAACCATACCAGTATTTTTCTACTTTTCCTTTTTTTTTGTGTTATTGAAAAATTAGATATTTATATCGTATTCGAAACAAATAATATTGAAACAGTTGCACGAATAATACTTATCAATACTTAAATTTTAAATTGCGTGGGATAAAATACATTCAGTAATATGGATTATGTATTGATTTAGCTCGATGAGTAAATTCACTTTTTTAGACTCGCGTTTTTAAATTGAATTCGTTACATAATTCGTTACTGATTCTTTAAAAATATCTAAACTAATATGTATTTAAATATCAATAGCGTGCCATCTGTGAAACGGTGTTACCTAACGGTACATTTTCCAGTTATAATTTTAAATGTCTACCTAGCATTACTTATTAGTCATTAGGTATATGTTATACGTAAAATAATTGTGTTTCACTGAATTTTCTGAATTTTCTATTTTCTGAACTGTATGTATTTATATATTGTAAGCTAAGTAAGACTAATAATCAGGAAAAAAGAAAACCCTCCACGACCTTCAGGATTTGGATTTTTTTTTTTTATATTATAATAACAATAACATACCTAATCGTTATTATTAAAATCTGCAGGTACCAGATATTTTACTAGGTGTGTTGTGTACAATAAATAATCAACCAGTTAGTGTTAATGAATTTATTTTTGAGTGTATATACCTTATATTGCAGGTACTTCGTACTTATATCTGTGTTACAATACTGATTTATGAAATTTAAAATTTGATGGATTTCAACAATCGATGAATTTAAGTATCTACCTATACAAATTATCTATACGAAAATACACATTATGATAACAAACATGTTAATTCATTTTTTATAGCTAGCTAAAACACTAGAATATTGGACTTTAAATTAATATACATTTATTTAAATTTAAAATTAAAAACGTTTACATAAATTACATAATATATCTATACATTACGCTTATACTTGGTGTAGGGATGAAAACATTTATATTACAAATATTAGTTTCTCATGAATACAACTAAATATATTACACATTAGTACTTATTATAAGGTGTTGTACTTCCGGTCTTCAAGAAAAAAACACCTCTAGCACTAGAAATAAAAAACGATAGGTATCAGGTATTATGGATGATGGTACGCAGATTAATAAATAATAAATACACAAGCATAGGAAAAATTGTTAATTATTTATCACATTAAATTAAATGTTTGTAAAGTTCATATTTATTTGGCTACTAATTATATAGTTAAATGTGCACCGATATAAATTAAAACAATATTTTTCTCAACTTCTTCCAATATTTGTTACCCAAATGTGCTATTTGAATGTTATGGTCACAAGTGTATTATAAAATGTAAATGAATACTGTTAACAATGTCTTTTACGTTGCCTTTGGTTATGCATCTGGTACCCCACATGCTGTTAATAATCAAGCTGTTTTTATAAAATGTGTAAAATAGTTTACTTTTTGTTAAGAGCTACTTGTATTACTTAACAATTTTATGAATAAAAAATCGCAACGTAAGTGGTTAACAATAACAAATTTAAATACTTATCATCGATCATCCAATAGAAGCTTATATCAAATATTTGAAGTATAATCTCACCTGGGTGATGTGTCATGTCCCATAAACTCAAGAGTGTTATTTTCACACTTGTTAGATTCATAATCATCCCACGAGGGACAGTTTACTGCGACTAAAGGATTGTACACTGAGTCTACATAAAGTTCATACGATCTTGAATGGCTACAATGCACTGTAATAAATTCAATATTATGATATTATAAATCGATGGTTGTAATTAATCAGTGGGATAGTTAGTGTTCTATAGGGTTAATTTATTCATATTATAATGTATAGTACTATATTATGTTTTGATTAGGTCAAATAATTGTATTGTTATTATAAAGTTACCTACCTATTGTTAATTCCGATAGTTTTGGTTAATTTGTTGTTTACCTATCACCATTTGGCAAATACCAATATAGATAGATAATACTAATGTATTATAATACATTACCTTCTAAAGAACAGTGCAGCACGCCACCTAGTTATGTGGAACCATCTTCAAGTAAAAAAGATTTTCCTTATGCACCTCCCTTTTATCTAAGCAGTGGCTACGATTTCAACACGCTCAAAAAATCTCTTTTTGACCTTGTCAATCCTTCAGGTATTATATTTAAAAATACTCCAAAGTATTTAATTATCCGCACTGACGGTGCCGTAAACTATAATTCAGTTCAATCTTATCTTGTGGCTAATGAGATGATAAAGTACCACACTTATCTGCCTAAACCCATGAAACCTTACGTCGTATATATAAGGCACCTCCACCCATCCACCACTGTTGAAGATATACAAGCTAGTTTAATTGATATGGGTCACGAAGTCATTCGGGTTTATAATGTTAAACATCATATCACAAAATGCCCTTTGCCTCTATTTAGAATCGATTTAAAAGTTGCTGAAAAAAATTGCGATATCCTCAAATTAGATTTGCTCCTGCACACTAGAATCAAAGTAGAGTTGCCCAAGAAAAAACGCTCCCCTCCACAATGTCATGATTGCCAGGCTTTTTATCATACTAGTAATTTCTGTCACCAATCCCCACGATGCGTCAAATGTGGAGATAATCATTACACCTCAGAATGTACCAAACCACCTTCAGAACCGGCCAAGTGTGCACTTTGTTTGGGATCACACACAGCCTCCTATAGAGGATGTCCAGTTTTTAAAAAACTAAATGATAACCGCAGCAAATCTCAATTATCTAAATCTATCCGTCTTCCGGTACTCAATCGAAATATTGTCACAAATACGTCAACTTATAAATCGCCAGATGTGGTTTGTGAAGATCACGCTCGGCAGCCTCATACAAAATCTTTTGCTGAAGCAGTCAAAATCGATAATTCCTCCATTGAAGCCTTCGCTACTATTCTTTCGCAATTTATATCTAATTTTAATTCCTTAATTAGCCCACTAATTTCCCTCCTTACCGAGGTTGTTCATAAACAGCTCTCTCCTTAGCTAAATTTTTCATTTTAAATATATCTAATACTTATCTCTCTATTACCTTTATTATTTAATCACACTGTATAATTTTATTACATAACACTGTCTGTTTTGCAAACTAATAACCTCCTATGATTTTATATTGTTGTCATGTTATACGTATAATCTTAAACTATTATGTTATCTACTTACTCCCAATATCTATTAATTGGTATATTAACTTTATTTTATTCGTATTATGTTATTACTATCCACATACTTTGTTATTATCTATATAACTCATATTTTATTTAATGTTGTAATCGTTGAACTGTAATAGTTTTAAGCTAAAAGTTCTAAAATAAAAAAAAAAAAAAAATTGTTGGTTTCTGTTAGGATATAAGGATTATCAGTTATAACTTTATAAGACTATATAAAATAAACTACAGATGACATGTATAAAATGTTTGTTGATTTAGTACTTTTATTATGTGGTTGAGCTACAACCCAAATTCTCCAAACTCAAAACAAGTGCTGTAATAAAATTTTATAACACAATGATACATATTGATTGGTTCAAGGATTACGACATAATAAGTACCGAGTCTACCTCCAATATCAGCAATTATACATTGTAACTCAAATCATCTTTTCAGATTTACTCAGACTTACTGAAATCTAGTAATTTGAATAGTGAATAGCATCCTGGTTGAGGCGCTAATCCAGTGTTGGGAAAAAAGTCAGCGTGGCCGATACTTTTTAAGAAGCCAACAGTCCCTCCTGAAGTGTGGATAATGTCCACAAACTGAGCATCTTTTTTGCTCAAGTGTGGTAAATTAAGGGATACGGTCTCGTATCCGGGTGCTGCTGGATCTAAACCTATGGAACACATCAATACAATATATACTTAAGGTTAAGTTTTTATGTTGTAAGTACCTCTCACGTACATTATCATGAAATAAAAATGTAATTTTAATTTTCCTAAATCTTATAAACACATAAGTACTCGTATATAAGTATGAACAATACAAAGTTGTCAAACCTGCATCAATAATAGTAATAGTAAATATTTTTTCTGAGACACTAGAGCTCTATGATACCGAACCTGGTTACCCTGTGGCAATGCGTCAGGCGGGGATGCGCAGAAGAACCGATTTTAGTCTGGCCGCTGTGCCTTCTCTCGCTGAACAGAGTATAGGTATCTATTTATTAATTTACTTTTGAAGTTTAACCAATTTTCATGTTTATGTCCATTAATGTAGTGTAGTGTAGTGTACCTACCTACTAGTTTGGTGTGTAGGTATCATAGAGTAATATTGCTCTATGATAGGTAATATACTATCCGACATTTGTTTTTTTATTTTATTAATTTTTTTAATTGTAACAATTTCATCTAGAAGGTAAATGACATGTGAAATGACATTATATTTAATTATTATTATAACACAACTTATTATTAAATGTCACCTATTATAATATAAATAGGTGTATATATTTTTAATTATTATTATTCACCTATTATTGTAAGTGGGTACGTATAACGACTGTTATGAGTCAATGACATCAAATCGTTTACAAAAAAATGTGTAGGACAATTTTGAATCCTATACTACAAGTTTACAATGTTAACATAAGATGTACTTTGTGTACCATTTTTCATGAAATACTCATCGTAATATATTGGATCCGCATATTATACGTAGTTAGAGGACACCAGCCATCACGTACGACATTTTAAAATCATATCAAGGTATTTCACTCGAATTAGTTTACAAAACTTTCAAAAAAATACCAAAAATGTCATCTGACTGTATAATTATATCATATTATTTAGAACAATTTAATAGCAATTCGAACTTTAAGGCCTCGAGGGTCAAGAATAGTTCTTGTTTTTTATCACTATAAAATCATGCTTCAGAAAATATTTATTGTCAACTAAATATTGGTTATGTATTTATTTTACTAAGTGCATTAAAGTGTATTAATATTCAAAATTTAGTCGGAGTAATAAATTAATAAATAATTATTTATTACTTTATGCTTTATCTTGTCGAAGTTGTAAATAACTTAACTAACACTTTCTAACAATTTGGTAGCTTCACACTATAAGAATATTATATCAAATGGCCCATAAGCCAACAAAGTCTTCGAATTTCAGTGTCATTACATGGTGTGGCTAATTGTCTCATAAATCAAAATATAATTTACATTAAAAATGATTTTAAATGCCTAAAGTTAAACATAAGACAGAACATAAATTTAACATTAAATGGAAAAAATCAAATTACATTAATAAATAGGTACCCAAAAACATGAAAATTATATTTACTTTAAAAATTAATACTTGGTTAACCGATATTTTTCATAGGTTTAGTTAAAGACAGTATTTTTGTTACGGAATTGCAAGCCTGTAATTTAATTTTTGAGGGTTTTTTTTTAAACAGTTATGATTTAAAATAATCATGTACAGTGTAATTTATTATACGTCCTGATAAGTTCTTACCGGTAATCCTACCGATTTTTCCCGATTTCAAATTAGAACCACATGATCCTACAACGTGAGCACCAAGACTGTGGCCTATTAAATGTATGTCCGATGGTTTTATTCCTGTGGCATCAACCAAACGATCCAAAAATGCAGCTAATGCAGAACCAACGGCATTGGTTAAGGATGCAGGAACTGGATACTTTGGATTATCTGCAATACTACTCCAATCTGCTGATATCACATTGAACCCACCGATGTCGACATATGCTAATAATTTGACGTTGAATATAATATTATTATTAATCATTAAGATCAAGAAAATTCTTGTATAGGTATTTTACTCAGGAAGTTGCAAGAATTGTTACTTATTTTATTATACCGGTATTAATGGTAAATACTCCAGTGTAGTTGTAGTCTGATGAAAGCCATCCATGAGTTATAACTTTTAAAGGTAAATCTTGTATCCAGTGCTCAAGTATACTTGTTTCATTACCACATCCTATTGGAATTCGTCTATCATTTCCAAGATCTCTATTTAAAAAAATTAAAAAACATTGTCTAAAAATTAAAATCATTTTCTTTGTGGTATACATACTATATTTGTTATTTATGCTATAGAAAATTATAATACAGATTTCTAAAAATGAAAATTTACTTGTTTATTTGTTTGCCCTCTATATATAGACTTAATAAGAATAATAATACTAATAATATTACATACGAATTGGAATAGAGAAACTTCAAGCTGGTTTCATCTATAGACTGTGGTGGTTTAAAATCTTCTTGACCTGAAATAATGAGATTTTTCATAGTATCTTTTTTTCTTGATTAAATGCTTCTATATGAACTAAAATTTAAAAATTGTTTCCTTGAATAATACATTATATATACATTATAATATTAAATATACATTATATATGTAGGTACAGTGTGCTCCCCAATTTAGGGAACACTGAATTCCTCAGTCGGATTATGTTGGCAAAATTAATTTTTTTTATAAACTAGTGGTGTATAAATACGCATTTTCAAATAAATTTCAAATTGTTAACTCTCACAGTAAGCGCATGCTCAATACAATTTGCATTTTCTTAAACGGCGTACGATATTTTAGTATCGAATAGACTAAATTTTTTAAAGTCATTTTGACTAGTTAACCATGGCTTTAAAACCAAAATTGACTGAATAAGAGCTGTTTAAATTTCAATAAATAATACATTTTTATGATTTTTTAAATGTATAAAACCATTTATAATTTATTTATTTTATTTATTTATTTTTAAATAATTAAATTGTGTATTATTGGTTACTTTTTGAATATTCTTACGTATTATAAACAAGATTAACTTGGTATTGAAATACAATTATTTATTAAAAATCGATTAGAATAGACAACAGTTGTTTTATGATTACACAATGAATTAGATAAATTATTCAAAGTTTGCTCCGTGGTTGTCGATGCATAATATTGAAAACGTTGTAGACATCCTCTATCAGTTGCTGACACTATTTGATTTTCAGCAAGGTTATAACAAGCAACCATGATTTTATTTTATTTTAGATTAACTGGTAGATCTGCTTAAATTATTGTTTTCAAAAGTCTCCATAAAAAAAATCAAGTGGAGTAATATCTGGAGATGCTTGCTGGCCATTCAATGGGTCCATAAGTTCCAAACTAATTTTCCAAATAATTGTATACCCATCCTATGTTAATCTTGTTTATAATACGTAAAAATATTCAGAATATAACCAATAATATATAATTATAAACGATTTTGAGTATTTTAATGAATCGTAAAAATGTATTATTTATTAAAATTTTAAAGACTCCTATTCAATCAATTTTGGTTTTAGAGCCATGGCCCATAGTTAATAGGTCAAAATGACTTAAAATCCAGTCTTTCCGAATGTGATATCTAAAATGCTGTTCGCAGTTTAAAAAAATGCAAAGTGTAATGCGCATGCGCTTTCGAGGGAGTTAACAATTTTTAATTTACCTGAAAATGTGCATTTATATACCTCTAGTTTGTAAAATAAAATCGATTTATTATAATATAATCAAGCCGGAAATTCAGTGTTCCTTAAATTGATGAACACACTGTACATGCAATATACATACATTAATATTTATGATATAAATATATAATATTATATTTGTGGTTATTTGATCTTTAAAATTATCCTTCTAAACAATAAATAAATAATACAATATCTTATAAGTCATACGAACCATTAACTATATGGATAACAATTAACAGAATGAGTGTTGCATTGTAGATGTTCATTTCTGATTCAGAAGCAAATGTACAAAATTGTACTTACTCCTTACTATTATGATACGAGACTATCTCAATTTCGCAGACAAGTGACTTTTTATATTTTATTGATAGTTCAACTTTGTTTACTAAAAAGATTTTTTTTTGAATAAACTATTTTATTTGACGTGTTTGTATATGTATGAATCATTATGATTGTCACAAATCAGCTATACCTTATTTTTTTATTATTACGAAAGAAGGTTTATTTACAATCTGTATTTATAGCAATACAATAAGCAAATATATCTACAACTGGCTGAACATATTATTTTAAACCGTATTTTTAATTTATTGATAATACGTGGGTTTAATTTTTTCCCAGACATATATTAAAGATTTATTTATGAATTTAAACGATTTTTCCATATTATAATGGTAACTATGTTGTACCTAATAAGTAATCCAAACAAATATAAATTATAGGGATTTGACAGATTTTGCTGATGCACTACCTATATCTAACCTATTATTTGAAAACTTAAAATTATAATTTAGAATTTTCTATAGGTACACAATACAATTTTAAAAATGAAGTGGGTAAGTGATCGCTCTGCTGGTTAGGTATCTAGAGAGACGAGAGTTACTGTGTACGCAACACGATTTTGAGCGAAGACGGTCGTTCAGCCTATAATATTACTTGAATTAAATTGTATGATATTATTGTGATTCAAATAATTTAATGTGGGAAGTGAAGGGTGAAAATAGGCGCTATTTTTCTTAGAATAAGAAGAAACAAATGAGAATGATTTCGTTTTTGTTGTAATTCAAAAATGAATCTGTAAAGACTTTAGAGACTTGAATATTCAACCAAATATTTATATTAGAGTTAAAAATTCTATATTAGACATGATATACATTTCAAAATATTGTGTCTCTTTTTATACTGTTTAGTATTTATTGACATTTTAAATATTTGTTTTATATTCTGAGCGGAGTGACTGATGTATTAGTTTTACAATGATTTGTGATTTTTATTTTTTTGGGGGGTCTGTTATCACGGTTTCCTGCAGTAAAAGTGCTTCGAGACACTTTGCCCAGTGCTCCATACCACCACAGTTAATAAGAGAGTTGAAATCCAAGCTAATGAATGAAAGCTATGCCATTGAATGCTGCAGCAATAGAACGAAGCTCGAGTAAAAGTTTAACTTACATGGACAGATAAACAAAATACATTTAAACCGGTACCATGATGTCTAACTTAACGAATGATATCATGATTTATTTTATTGAAGTGTGAAATACTCACTACGACTTTGCTTCAAATGATAATGAATGGCGGAATGTCTACATGAATATAGCGAGCGATATCAGTTATCCAAGATAAGTTAAAAATAATTACGATTTGTTATTAATTTCGAACCATACGAGCAGGCAAGGTAATTATAATTACCTTGCGATCAGGCATATCTTGTAACTTTGTGCCCACCGTGTCACCGCCCGAAGTTACCTACTCAGATAGAGGGAGTTCTTTTTTTTACCACCCAGATTCGATAGTGACATCGAATTATTCGAATTACACAAATAACGGTGGCATAATAATTCTAGTTCAGCAACCTATCGATTTTTTGATTTTTTTTTTATAATGTGTGTTTTTGTGTGCTTTATAAGAATGTAAAAAAAAGGCCGGATAAACTTCGTTTTGAAGTTATCGTTGAAAAAGGTTACGCCTCGGAGCGTATAACGACGAGTACCACGATCCACGATACACACGTAATTACTGCGCAAGACAAAAAAAATTTTATTTTAAATTTTCACATAACCACATTTCTTTTGTCCCCGTTACCTACTTGAGGTGGTTTTGCATAGTAAGTCGAGGGATATTTTCGATTTGAGGAGCGGAGTGCCGATACACGCGCAATCACTGAGCAAGAAAAATAATTTTGGAAACAATTATAAGTGCATTACTCTTAAATATACTTTGTATTTAGGTGGTCAAAGGACAATTGTTGAAATAGATGAGTCTAAATTTGGAAGGAGAAAATATCATAGGGGACATCGTGTTGAAGACCTATAGGTGTTTGGGCGGTGTTGAAAGAGATACGGGTCGTTGTTTTCTTGTGGACATAGAAAAACTTGACTAAGACACATTATTGGCGATTATAAAGGATTGAATTGAGCCTGGTATATTATTCATATAAGTGCAAAAACTTCAAAAATAAGTAGGATAGGACAGTTTTGATTTTACCAATGTATTGAGAGTTGAAAACTTCACAATTTGAAAAAAAAAATTGAAAATATTCAATCCTGCGTATTTTAAAAAGAATAGGTACGTGTTACGGAAAAACAGTACTTTTTGAAGTTTTTCACGTATAACTTCAAAACGAAGTTTGTCTGACCTTTTTTTTACATTCTTATAAAGCATGCAAAAACGAACATTATAAAAAATAAAAAAATAAAAAAAATAGATATGTTGCTAAACTAGAATTGATCCATAACGGTGACTTGACAATATTCGACCGAGTCTATAGTTTTGAATGTTTTGGGTAAGAACATATTTTGTAAAAGCGAAGTATAATATGTACGTGACAATGACAAAACACAATCCATATTTTATCGTGATTTGGCAGCTTGTACAGTTGATGAAACACATTCAATCAGGGAGCGGGCTGTAGCGGCGGATGGGTACGTGGAAAGCGTAATCTATGATTATTGTTAATGGGCTGATGGCATAATAGACCTACTGCCGAGATATTGTCAGTACTCAGTTCCGACTTAAATTATATTATAAATATTATATATATATTATATATTATTAAACTATTATATTTTGGTTATATTCTGTGCTTATACGTAGGTATTTATTTTATTCAAGGAACATTTTGGAGGCATTTTTATGTAATTTTCTTGTTGTTTAAATTATGATTAAAAATTAAAAATCAAAATTATTTTTATTACTTTACTTTTTTCGTATTTATAATTTTATAAAATATTTCTGCAAATTAAAATTTTGTGTAAGAACATAAAATATAAGTGCATATTTTTTGAGCATATTTGTACTTTTTTAAGCGCATAAGAGCATGCATATTTAGTACTTTTTAAGTGCATTAAGTTCCGAGCCCTTGGCCAATAACCTATACTCTGTTGAAGCATTATTTTTTTTTTGATAAAAAAATTTAATATAGTATAACATATCTTATTATCTTCTTCTTTATATAATATAATTCAATTCTTGAAAGTACTCGTATTCTTATTAAATCGTGTAATTTTTTAACCATTTGATCGATTGAGGTAAGAGTTAGAGGTAGCCGGTAGGTACCGATGGATTCATTGAGCCCTTGGAGTAAATATGATAATAGTGCATTTTTTATCTCATAAATTAAATGATTGATTTTAATAAAAAGTGGGGTAAACCCTCCTAAGCCTCCTCCCCTATTAACGTCCAAGCCGACCCCTCCAATAATTTACGCCATATCGTTTGAACTTTGAAGCAATAATGTTTAAATATAATAGTATCTACTTCGTAGTTACTGACTATCGAAAAATATATTATTTGGATTTCGTGGTAGTCGTAATCGATGCAATCGTAATCGAAGCTAATGATATTCGTGTTAACAGTTAACATACGCCTTAGATCATATACATTAGATTGTAATGATTGTATATTATGATCTAAGAATATTCTAAGACATACGCGGACGTGTATCGTGTATTATCGTATTCGTACTAATCACTTGTGGTAATGGTGATATCCCCTTTGTTGCTGATGATCCTTCCACTTCCTTTTCCCAATGGTTATTTATGACTTGGCAACACTGGGGTATCACCGCAGCCCACGGTGGTTGTACTGTTTTGAGTGATAATACATTATGAAATTATGAATTACTATTTTAGGTTTACGGATAAAATTAGACCGTTCGGTGGAGACCGTTCGGGGACGCGTTGGTCAAAGTCCACCCGACGCGTCGCGACGTCTCATTGTGTCCTGTCAACATTGTTGTTGTTATTATTATTATCATCTGTTTGACGTCGTTTTTCTTCATTTACCTGTTATTCTTAACTTAGTAATTGTACTAATTTTTTACAATTTGTTTTTGCTTTCGATCTTGTTTAATGTATTCTCGTCAACCGGTTTTCGTATTTCGTAATCGATCGATTTTTCACATCCGCCAATATTCGTTTTTCCCGAGGAGCTATATAGATAGTAGATACTCGTAAATCGTTGTCGTGACTCGTGTGCAAGAATTTGTTGGCCGAGTAAGCTCTTACCGATAATTTTTTTTTATCCGTCCGTCGCCCTTCAATTATTTAAAACGTTGATTCTGAATTTGTTCGCAACCGATCACATGCGCCCAAAGCACTAAGTAAGTTGGTTCTTACCTATCAGTACAATATTACAATGGACAGATACATGGTACGAATCAATATAATTATAGGTGTAACGCGGTTTATGGGAGGATATAATGAAATTTTAATATAATATACAGTGAACCTCCCCTAATAGTCACCTACAAATAGTTTAAATTTTCTTGGGGACCAATTACACATTTTCTACAAGCTGAACCGTTTGAATAACAAACACTTCTGAATGACTGATACAATTTCAGCGTCGGAGAGTGTTTTATTGTATATTATATATACATATTTATGAACAATTTTGCCCATGATAATACTTATTTTATTTAACAGAGTACCTCTATAATATATTAAGTACCTAGTATCTATATAGCCATTTAGGTATGCTAACTAATTTTTTTCAATTAAGTTGACATTCAAAGTTGTCCAATCTAAATGTTGAATATCTACCTAGGAATATTGTTAAAGCTTAATCAATAACTTAAATAGAACTAAATCAACCAATTAATTTATTTTTATACCTTTTGCCTAGGTTTATCCAATGGCTTCGAGAAAGTTATTTTCTGTCAAAGACAAGGTCTTTGTAAAACGACGAGGATATCCTGCTTGGCCTGCTTTAATAATTGGTATTAAAACTAACACTGAATCGGAACCAATTTATACTGTATATTTTTATGGAACTGGTAAGTATGGAGAATGTAAACCAGAAGTACTCTGTCTGTATGAAGAAAACAAGTATAAACTAGGTAAGCCCCGAAGAAAACAAAAGAAATTTAAACAACTAGTTGAAGCTCTCGTTCAAATAGAAAATGATGTCAAAAATGATTTTTTCCCTGACAACAATGTTGAAGTATATATGCCACCAATTTCTACAACAAACATAAATGAAGAATTATCCTTAGATGATGAATCCAATAATTTGGGTGAAACTGAAAATCAAAGTGAAGAAAACGAAAAAAAAAAGTTGATTAATGAGTCAAGTTTATCCAAAGGTTTAAAAGTAGTTCTATCAAAAAAAAAGATATCTAATTCTGCATTTTCAAAAAGAAAACAATCTGATAACACACTTATAGAAGTCCCGAAGAAGCTAAAAAAATCAAAAAGTTTCAACCTTATAAATGTTCAACCTATAGTATTGTTGGAACCGTTGAAAGTTGCTGATTTAGAAAGAAGATTGAATAGAAAGCAGGTTAGTGACCTTACATTCATTGATATACTAAAAAAATTGCAGAATTGTAGAGTTAACTTTTAAAAAGTATTTTAGTAAATATTCAATGGCATATTATGCATGGTATATAAATGTTAATGTAGGTAGGTAAAGGGGTAGGTATATTATTGTTGCATGAATAATTGTAGGTACTTCCATTAGACATAAGGTTTATAGTTGGGGGCACAAAATATGCCCGTCATAAACCAAGCAACATTTTTTTGGTGATGGTATCTAAATCATAAGTGTACACATTTTTGGAATGTTAAATTATTTATAATACTTATAGGTGTTATTTAATTTTAATTTGTTTATATTGTAAGGCTACCTTTATTTCTGTAATAAATGGTGATATAATTTAACATAATGGCAGCTCTTAAGTAAAATGTTGAAAACCAATGGTTACAAAAATGTGCATAAACTACAGTCTGTGTGGGCCAGAAATCTTTATTTGTGCTTCCGATTATAGACCCTATGTCAATCACAATTTAGGCATTAATAATATACCTACTTAAACATTTAGATTTTGTCCACCTATAATATCCCATCGTATTCCATTGAATATTTACTTAAAAACTTTTTAGAAATACTTTTAGACTTCTAACTCTGGACCTCATCTTATTAAACATGACAGGTACTTCACTACTTTATGCTTGTTATTCTTCTGTTATACCTATCTAGTGTTAATTATTTATTAAAAGTATCCGTGTTTAGAAACTCTGTTTTTTTATCGGTTCTTCTATACAATTTTTCAAAAAAAATTTAATTTAATTTTGTTAAGTATAATCTACAGTGGGGATCTAGGATTTTTACAGTGGATTCTACTTTGATAATGCTCTTTAGGTAGTAATTTTGAACAACTTCAGGGTAAAAATAATTTTAACCTATTCTGTAGTAGTACAGTTTACAATTATTATGTTTAGTTATGTCTGATAAATGATATTTAAGTAATTTAGAATTAAAAAAGTTCAATTTACGGAACTGAGGGTGCTTCAGCTGACATTCTGATAACATTGGTACTAGGTACCATTCTTATTAATGATACCTTTGTTGATCATAATTAGGGCTAGGGACTTCATGCCATTAAAAACCTTAAAATATCCATGGATTTATGCCCTAAAGAATCAATAAATATGCATTTAAAAAAAATTATATTCTTTTACAAAATTGTTAAGCTAGGCATTTTTTAATTATTTTATCATGGGCTCACTCAAAAGAATAAACACTTCACGAAACCAAAATACGAAGAACGCACAACACCAACTGTCAACTATTACTATTCAAGGGACCATCTGGCCTCTATCTACAACTAGTCATAACCAGTCTATAAAATGTTTTTTTGGTATCATTATCAGCTTATTTCCTATCAGGAATCACGAGTGTGGTATACCGATAAATAATAATACAGTTATAATGATAGGCAAGAAAAACACAAACATTAATTTGAAATATTTATATCCGGTCCAGGAAATCTATTTATCTATTTAAAATACAATTTTTCTTATAAAACTAAAAACTTACTCCTCGTATAAATAATATTATCAAATATGCACTAATAAAATGAAAAATGGTCAAATATGCAAAATATGCAACTATAAATTTTATATATAAACTTGTAATGCTATGAAACAAATTTCTATTTTACTTAGCTATGTTTTTAATGATTATTTAAAAACATGCAAATTCCTAGAAGTCCCGAGCCCTAATCATATTGATCATTAAATTATCAAAAAAATCATTATCTACTAATTTATTCATATTAAAATTCCTTAACAGATTCCTTAAAATAATCAGGCAACTAGGGACTACAAAACTCATTTGATTCAACTCGGTTATTTTTGTACATAGGTAACAAAAATATAAAACCATTTAGTTTTAGGTACGATCTCAAGCATTAATATATTTTTAATAAAACAAAATAGATATAAGCATTGATTATAGAATTGACTTTTTGATATTAGGTAATAGATACCCCTAATCATGAAAACCATTTAAATGATGATTTTTTGTGTACATTTTGACACAAAAGTTGTAATGAATAAGTACTTTTAAAAAAATTAAAAAAATTTTAATAACTAGTTATCTAATTGTACCGCTGATACATAAAAAATTTAGAAATTGGTGGGAACAAAATATTTAGTACAACTCATTTCTTAAGACAACTACAATTTCGGTGATCATTTGAAAAGAATTTTTCAAAAAAAAATAGAATATTTAATAAAACCTTAGATTTCTACATGTTATTTGTATCTTATGATGTATATTTGCAGATGGACACTGGTTGGGGGGTTTGATCAAGAGTCATTACATGTCTGCCCCTAGGGCCTAGAAGGATTAAAGTTAATACTTTAGGTAGGTACTTAATAATTGATTAGGTAATACATCAATAATAAAGAATAATAATAATAAAATAAAAATGGCGGAGTTTACAATCTCCCCAATAATGTAAATTATCCTAATAGTTTAGGATAGGTTCATAAATTCATATCGTTTGTATTCGATATTATCAATGCCTAGTCACTAAGTTGATAAATTTGTTTAACAAAATATTTAAATTGGATAAAAATTTTAATAATATGAGATAAATCACATAATATACATACATAAATTGGGTAGATACTAGATTCATGTTGTGCAATGTGCTAGTAGGTGTGCGCATTTACAAACATTATAATTTAATTAATATTATTAATAAAATAATTATGAATAATTATTATATGTAACAAATAAATTATTGTGATTTAAATTGTATACCTAGGTACCTACTAATAGATGGCAAGTGTAGTCGATAGCTATATTTTACTTAATAGATACTTAACGTACGGCCATCGAAATATTTGAGTCAGAAAGTGTGTTATTGTTAGTACCAATTATAGATAAATTGATTTTTTACGAGAAGACTGTTTCTAATTTAACAAACAAAGTATAATTGAATTAATATTTGTATCAATTGTGTATAAATAAGCCATGGATTATCCCCATTACCTAACAAAAGTTTCTAAATGCATCATTGACTGAAAATAATGCACATTATCGTTATTTCCTAGTTGATATTGACGTATACTGTCTAATTTAATAGAAAATATTGTTTTTACCTAATCATTAACATTAAGTACTTAATTTACGTCTTAACTGGGGTAACATAGATATTCTATAAGTAATACATATTATAACTTTATTTGCTTAAAAGCAATTGTTTTTTTCATACCTACATAGTTTTAAAACATTTATGTAACTCAGATACCCACAGTTTTCACTTTTTCAACAAATATAATTTTAATATATTACACTCAACTTTTTTTCATTGTTCATAAATATAAACTGTTAATATTATACCTACAAATAATAAAATAAATATTGAAAATAAAATACTAAAATAGTCAAATATAAAAACTGTTTTTGATTATTCATGAATGTAGGTGCCAGAATAGGTGCCTGGCATTAAATTAATAATATACAATTTTATCATAAAAAATAAATGAAAAAAGTATTTATACAGGTTCTGATATTCGTGTAGTATTGACTTAAAATCCAAATTTCTCATTTGTTTTATATTATTTACCTTTCTATAGCAATTTGGTTATTTAACAACATAACATATTTATCCATCATACTATCTCAATTAACAACAAAGTAACTTTTGTTAATGAAACGTATTGTTTATACATAATTGATTTATTGATTTATCTACTTCAAATACCATTTTTTTAAACTAGAATACTAATCTTACCATATTAAAACTATTTAAGTTATTCTTAAAGTCATTGGTTTGGGGTTACCTATGTAATTTTCTGAATTTAAAACTTGACTATGAATTATTATATCATTATAATTTGTATTGAAAAACTATAGGTCATAAGTCATAACACTAATATATTATAACTCATATTACACTTAATTATTATTTGTTTTATATTATAGAATATTGTATTATTGTAGTATACGTATGTTTAAGTTGTTTTAATGTCGAATTAGTAACTTAATAGTTAATAATAAATGTTAATAATATTATAATTTACAGAATTTTGAGACTGCTGATAAAAATGTTGCTGTCAATGAACACATTTCTGAACCCCTTAATACTACTAAATCTGTAATTGAATCCAATGACATTTCATTAAATTGCTGTGAAACTGCGGAACCAAAAAAAATGAATGATAGTGTTCAATCAGATTTAGGTCGTACATCACGCTTTGGTCGTAAAATCAAGCCAAACAGAATGTCTGACCATGAATTTGTCACCAAATTTCCAAAAAATAACAAGTTAAAGAAAGCAGATTCAAAAATTATAAAAACTCATAATTTTGACAATAATGATACTGATGATTCTTTAAAACAAAATGTCAAAGCTAGAGGTAAGATATTGGTTTTTTTTTTTTGTTTATGTTAACTCACATGTAAGATGAAATATAATATCTAGGTACCTTTACAGAAATTAATTTTCCTGTGTGAAAAAAATGGATTTTCTTCTTCTCAAAAGTTTCTGTTATTATTAGAATTATAAATCATACATCATAACTTCTAAAGGTTTTTTTTATTAAGTGCAAAACAGTTTGATAATATTTATGCAAAAACAATCTATGATTTTAAGAGTTAAAAATTACATTTTAATGCAAGGGGAATGTATTGCTCTATTATATATCTATTCTATATTATGCTGAATGTTAGAGAAAAAATGTCTCATAATTATTTGAAAAACCATGTTAACATATAAATCTATTAATTATTATTAAATATTTGTATTTATAGTTTGCAGGAAATAGACAGTGCAGTTTTGAAAGGCTATTAAAAAAACTGTGCAGGTTACAGAAATGAGGCTATTATATTTTACTCGGTACATCATGGTGTTTTATGCTTTATGACATCAGAAAATTAATGAAGCAATTTCTGAAGTTTTAGACCACAGATGGCCACATATCAGCAAGTATAGTGGCTATTTCCTCCTGAATTCTATCTTAGAGTTCTTCTAAGTATGAGCCAATTATATTTAAGAAAAAAAAAATTTCAAAATGGAAGCATAACTGAGTGTTGAAAGTTGGTTTGTCCATTTTCCTCCAAAAAATTAGGCCCAAAATCACTCCAGATTTGGAAATCACACTCTTCACTCTTACTTTTGGGGAGTGAGAGGTCTCTCGTGAAGTAGTTTTGGATTATTTTTAGCTCAGTACCAAACATTTTGTTTACTGACCATTTTACTGAAATTAAAGTGGGTCTCTTTAATACTGAAAGAGTTTAATCCCTATAGGCTTATCAAAGGAATAACCTTTCAAAACTACTCTGTTTCTTTTGCTGCATCCTGTAATATTGATTTACTATTTATGACAGCATTACAACATTATTTCATACTGATAAACAGTAAAAAAAAACAGTACAATTAAGAATGCACCGACTGACAACTGCGTTTTAATGTCATTTAAATGTTTTATGCACTTTTTCACTATAAACAACTGATATGTTTCTTATTTATATGATTTCAGATTCAAGCACAAAAGGAATGAAGAATTTGAAAAATAATGTAGTATCAATACCCGTGTCAATACCATGTACGCTTGACAGTGTATCAAAAAAAGTATGTCCAGTGAAAAAAAGCCGCCATGAGAGAAATCCACCAAATAATTTAATTAAAAATGTCATGGGTTCTTTATCAAATGAAGATGTTGAGTGGAAAAAAATGGAATCAAACAAAGCAGATCAAGTTAATTTGCTACTAACAGAAGTAAATTTACTTGATTATGTTAATAAATTATGCTCTGCATTATCAATTAACTATAGCAAATTAAGTTATGAAATGGCATTGAAGTCATTAGAACAGATAAGTGAATTACAATTTAATGCTCTTATGTTATTAAAACATAGATGTGTCGTTGATAAAATTACAAAAGTAACAAAGTATGTAGGGGATGTGAATAACTGGTCCTTAAGCAATGAGGAAGCTGTTGAACATGTTAATAAAGCAAGCCAAATTCGATGTAAAGCTCAAAAGGTATTACATAAATGCATATCATTATTCACTGTACTTGATGGACAAACATTTCAAGAGGTATACAACCAAGAAGTTGATGAGTTTATTACAAAAACTCGACATTTGACCAATGATCAGATTTATGGTTGTACTACAGATAAATTGTACAAATAACTTCTTCTGCAAACAAGTGCAAGTGGCAAGAACTATTTTTTGTATTTTTAGGTATCCATTATTTTTTTTATAAAATGTTGCATCCATAATAGTTATTTTTTTAATTGTAATTACCTACAATATTTAATAAACTGCAAGTTACATCTTGTATAAAAACAAAACAAATATAATTCATGTAAAATAAGTCAATTTATAGTACAATATTGACTAGTAATATTAATAGTATTATAATTTTTTTTTCATGTAGTAGTTCCATTTTTAATTTGTTGAAAATGATTTAATATTCTACGTTTGTTGTGTCAATTTTGTTATTTGTTAATTTATTATATTTTACATTTAGCATGGATAAATTTTCAGACAAAAAATAATATTTTAAATGTATTGGCCGTAATAATATCAATATTTTACTTTTTACTATGATTCAAAAAAGTGTAATAATTATTAAATTATATTTGATTAAGAATTTCGTACAAAATAACTGTGTGATAAAAATTTTTATTTACTTGTTCAATAATTCATTGTACAATTTAGTATTTTGTATCATTAAGTTGTAGATTTTTCAATTTTCGTCTTAAAAAATGAGCTGATTTGATTGTGTTAAAGTACTTATAAAATGGAAATAATCAATTTAATTATAACTTAAGAGTGACTTAAATGAGTTATATTTAATATTTAAATATGTATTTATGTTAAACAGTCTGACATATTTTGTATCATTATACTAGTAAAAAATATGTTTAAGATTATCACATTGTGTAAAGGAACTAAACAGAAAATATAGCAATAAACAAACTATATATTATTATAACAAGATGTATGATTGTTTTAAATTGTATTTAATATTTTGGTGCCTAATTATTGATTTAACTATTTAAGTAATTTTAGCATGATCAAAATGAGTGATAGACTTATAGTATTACCTAACCAATTGATCAGGGATTCAATCAGTGACACTGAACACATATACTTCAGATAGTTCAATTGAACTACCTTCAAAAATCAAAATAGGGTGGTTGGTAAAATGATAGATTATATTTTCTAGTCTTTCCCCTATAATTGTATTTAACACAGGAATGCCATTAAATTATTTATACATAATTAGTTAAACTCATTTCTCAGTTGTGTGAACTGGTGGGTGGATCAATCAAGCTATTTGAACTCTCGGTTATAATTTCATTTGGCACTACTGTATAGGCGCAAATAGGGGGGGGGAGGCTTAGCCTCTCCACCCCAAAAAAAAAATTTCAGACAAAACGTATAAAAAAATCAAAAAGTGATTTTCAAGTACAAAATTTGTTTTTTTTTCTGTAAAATTTTGAACATAACTTAAAAATTTAAATCAGAATTTTCACAATCATCTAATCATTAATGCAAGGATTATGGATTATACAATATCTTTAACGTGATTAATTTATATTATATATTTACATAGGCCTATATTATACACCTATATTATAGGTATTATTTTCTTTTAGGTGTTAAGAGTCTGTATGGATAAACGTGGTTGTGGTCATGAATCGTGATTGAAGTTGCCAACACGGCAACACTTGAGCACGTTCCTTGTTCCTATGTTCATTATGTTGAAATGACCGTACACGCGGCATAGAGTATTACTCTATGACACGCGGGTATTCGGCGGGTAAACGTTGAAATTGAAACAATTTACAATATTATTAATATTATTAATATTAACCGTATCACAATTCACAAGTCTCATTTCATCTTGTGTTTTTGCTTCAAAGTTCAAAATGCAAGTTATCTGGTGTTTTGTTTTTCTTTTAATTTGTTTTATGTGAGGTATTAGTTGAAAAAAATTTGATTTATTCTATCTTGTCATTTCTGATTTCTCATTGCAGTAATTTTCTTTTGTTCTGGCGTCGGCGTGATTCAATGTGCAAAGCTTTTGTTTGGATTTTAAATTAAGGAAGTATTTAATAGTCTACTAGATCATACGTGGTATTTAACTACTACTTAGCTTCTTATTGATTTTAGATGGGAAAAAAAGTATTCAATATCTTTAACTTCAGAAAGAATAAGAGTGAAAATAATACAAATAATGTCAACAACGATTTTTCTGATGTCAGTAGTACAAGGTTACTGATGTTAATACAATCAAAATAAATTTATCACAATCTCTTTTTGCTAAATTACCTGACCGTAACCATCTTAATAAAATTACTTTATGTCTTGGGGATTTAAATTCTGGACTGATGAGACCAATAATTAAGGTATGTAATTTTTAATTAATGCCTATAACATTTTTTTATAATAATTTAAAATTATAATTAGTTATGAGCAGAAATTATGGTTTTAATTATTTAGTATACATGTAATTCAGTTCAAATTAATATAAGTGAACAAAATTTACACAGACAAGTGTTTATTAGCTTAGCTTAGTTTGATTTTGTATTTAAATATAATATAATGCCAAATATATATTACTATGGATTATTGCATGCACCTTAGACTTATCTAAAAACTTAATTTGGATTGCAAAAACGTGCCTTTTCAAGTGCTTATTACTAAAATCATGATTGACTTGAATATAGTTTGGAGAAAGATGCTGTATTCTGCTATGCTTGTCCTCTATTCTCAAATTTATCTGGGCATTATAAAGAAACATTTACAACTATTGGGTCTAAAAACATACTGAAAAAAAGCAAGTCTTATTTGTTTTTACCAATATATAGAATGAATTGTTAAAACGTTTTTTGTCTACTGAATTTGATATATCTAATCAGAATATTGACTTTGTTACTAGTTGAGTGGCAGTAAAGATTCAAATTCCAGACATTCTAAGCTTGAATTACATAATATAAGTGAACACCACTTGAGTGCTATGTCAAAATGGTCATCATTCAAAATGACTCTAGAAACTGGCTCGATTCAAAATCATCTTAATTCTGCACACAAACCAAAAGTTTTGGATTGTAAAATTTATATCAAACAATTAATTAAAATTGCATTTTATTTAGGTAAACAAAGTTTATCTTTTAGGGGGCATAGAAAAGATGAACTAAGTTTAAACAGAGGTAAGTCCTAAGACCTTACATTTATACAAAATACTTTCTTATTTATTTATTTTACATTAAGAAAATTTCAAAGAAGCTTGTGTATTGATGAACAAATTCAATGACAATTTTGCTTGCCATTTTAATTCAAAGACAAATTATACTAGTTGGTCTGTACAGAATACTATTATAAACTTTTGTGCTAAGCATATTAATAAACTTGTCTGTGATGAAATCAAAGAGTGTGGCTTTCATAGTATTATGGTTGATGAAGCAAGGTAATATGAAAAATATAAATACAAATCAAATATTTCAAAAACATGTTTTACAGGTCTTTTAAAGCTCAACAATTATCATTATGTATAAGATATACAAATAATTTTGAAGTAGTGGAACGGTTTTTAACTTTTATTGATGTATTACAAAAGCAAGATGCAAGTTCTTCATGCTCATTTATATTCAACTATTTGGACACAATTTCATTGTTAGATATACCTATTGTAGCACAGCTGTATGATGGTGCCAATGTCACGTCTGGACAGTTTAGTGGGGTGCTACAAAAAGTGAAACTAAATCATCCGTTTGCAATCTATACCCATTGCATGACACACAGAGTAAAATTGGTTGTACTAGACATGTGTAAAATGGTGTATGCCAAAGTAGTTTTTAATATTCATTGTGTTAATTTAATTGTTATTATTTTTATTACTATTAGGGTACAAGGGTCATTTATATTTCATACTTTTGTGTTGGAAGACATTACAAATAAGTACTCAGTTATAGCAAAAGTCTTCTACACTAGGAAAAGCTGTTTCTGTTATTATCGGTGTCATAAAAATATTAAGAGATAAACATTGATTTTTCTAATGTGTGGTCTAGTGTAAAATTGTTTGCCGAATTGTATGACATACAACTATACTCAATAGGTAGTTATAGTCGAATGCTACTTGATTTCAAAAAGATTTTTTTACTATATAGCAAAATTTTATTTACTAATAATAATAATTTTTTTTATTAATTTTAAGGATGTAAAAGAAAAAGAAAAGAATCCAGTTATTTTAATGATTTTTATCTATTAACTACCATGCACTAGCGCTGAAAATGTGCAAACTGAACAAACAGTAAATGGCATGGAAGATCCTTGGTGAACAATTTACTTTCAAATAATTGACACTCTAGTTACCAACTTAGAAAAAATATTTTCATCAGAAAGCCTTAATATAGCAATTGGAGTAGACAATTTCCTTAAACTTAATTTTAATGATATACATGCTTTATTGAACATTTAAATAAAAAAAACTATAAAAAATAAAATGTATTTTCATATTATATTAAATTAAATATTTTAAAACTATTATATAATTTCTAGGAGTTATTGAACATTGATGTTGATACTATAAAATGTGAAGGATGGTAGCAAAAAAAAGTCTATTAAGATTAAATGAGGAAAATGAAATCAATATTGATGGTCTTAAACAAGTCGTAAATTGTGTTGTTTATCCAAATTTATTTAAACTTGTACAATTAGCGCTCACAATACCAAATAAGTTCAGCATCAAAAGAATTTGTAAAAAATGATCATAAATTACAACTATAAGCAAATAATATATCAATTTTTTTTAAGTGTTTGTAATTTTTTAATTTTATTATTACCTACTACCTAATAATTATAAGTGTGTTAGGCATTTGTATTTTGCAGTTGAATCATAGTAGTGAAATTAATATATAAGTAGGAAAAGGGCTTAGATAAGAATTCTAAATATATTATGTTGTATATTGTACAGGTAATTTTTGTGAGGGAGGGGGTGGAGCCTCCCGTTGGTCTGTTTGATTTATATATGGATACACTGCTTGATTCAATAATAAAAATTACAACAAATATTGTTGGTTTTAGCAATGGCTCTTTGGTTCAACATTATCAAGTTCTTATTTTTAATTAAAATGTATTCTTATTATAATTTATAATCAAGCAGTTCTGAGCAAGTTAACTGAAAAAAATAACTGTTTATTTAGCTTATCCAAATAACTAATATGATATTAAATGACATTAGTGAGGTTTTTTTATTAAAGTTTTATTACAGCTCGTCAAATTATTAACACAAAAAGTAAATGACAAAACCTGCTTGTAATATGAAGGTGATTATTTTTTTTTTTTTATGACATTTTCAGTATTAGGTATATTTAGAATGGAGAAGTGGTCGAGATAGATATTGAAGGTACCTACTAAGGGAATAGCAAAATTAGTAATTTAAGAGTCAAAAGACCATCAGAAGGTATATTATTATGTTGGAAGTTATACTTTTAGTGATATTTAATATTGTAATGTACAGAGAGGTGAGTTGTTTAGTCCAAGTTTGTAGGCATGATCTTGTTGTAATGAATGGCTCACTTGCAGTTGCTTGAACTGAATGTTGGAATATCTAGATAGATTTAAGCTATTGAACCAGGTTTTTTTTAGATGGATATTGGGAACAATTCTTTTGAACTCTGATGCAAAATTAGCTGGTAAGTAGGCGGTGGATGTTGATTTAGTTAGGCTATCAGCTAAATAGTGAGATAGGTTTATAGGTGTATCATGAATTTCTAACATACATGCCATATGTCAGAACTTTGTGATGCACTCTGTACATATATATTATTAAATTTATAAAATTCTTAGTCTTAACGGGTGTAGAGGGTGTTGTACAGCATAGGTAGAATATGTTGAAACTTGGGCGCTAGGTCCCCAAAAAATCCTACTGATTAATTTCACAGTCGACAATTCGACATATGAATTCTTAATGTTTTATAGTTCAATCTTTAAGTACCTAGGTACCTATTTTAAAAAAAGTCTGGAAGGAATGTGAATTACACTTGTTTTTTTTTTGTCATTTAACATTGTTATGTAAGGACTTGCTTTAATGATTAAACACCTGGGTATACCCATAGGTATATCATTTAAAAAAAAATTCTTAGCCTTGTTCAAATTTATTTCTTGTATTTCTTGTATAATATTACTTAAGATTTTGCTCATGTGTAATTATGACGTAGGTACCTACCAAATTTTGTAAATGAGTAGGTAATGTAGAAATGTAAAAAAAAATGTGCATAATACCTATTATGTAGTTATGATATTTTTACAACGCTAGGAAATGTTTTTAAATTACTTAATATTTTATAGGTTTTCAAAATATTTTACTTACAAATAAAAATTAAAAAATGTCATCATCATAAATGATAGATGGAAAAACGTAGAAATTATAATGTCTATAAGCTTAAAGTCAGTCTAACTGGTACGTGAGGTTAGGGTGTTACCGGTGTGTTCCGAGTTTCTATCTTTTTGAATAAATAATATCAAAATAATAAAAATTGTTTGAGGATAAATCTTTATCATAGGCAGGTACTTTTAATTTTTAAATACCTATCATCTAAATTTGAATTTTCAAATGCAATATAAAAAATGTTAAATTAACGTTAACAATTTTTTTTTTATACAACTTAAGAGGAATATTATACATTTCCAACCATATAAGGTAGCTATTAAAATAAAAAAATTTAAACAGCGAAATAGTTAGAAAATTTAACTGATTTTAATGAATTTTGTCAACATTTGAAATTAAAGAATATGTTTTTGATGATTATTAATTGCTATATTTATAACTTATAAGGAGTTACGTAAGTTTGAGGTCTACGCCCTAATATTATAATTTATAGGTAGGTACCCATTGAAGATCGGATCATTTTCTACAATTACAGTAATCAGTTATCTTAAGTTGAAGACACAAAAATAATTAAATACATCACTGTAAAATAAATAGGTACCTACCTAGTATGACAGTCGCTTCTCTCTGAATCTAAATTCAATTCAATTTTGTTCAATAATATTTTGATTGGGTTTGATTTTTCTTTACCACAGCAATACAACAATTTACAATAGATATACCATCGATCAAGTTCTAAAGACTAAGTGCTTATATATTAAAAAAAGTAAGTTTTCTTTAATCTTTATATATTATAATACATTTTTACTAAATATTTCCTTGGATTTTCTAAAAAAAAAAAAAAAAATGAATAATGAACTCAAAAAAGAAACTAATTAAGAGGCTTAATGGCACGTTGGCTATTATGAAATTGACTCGTTAAGGAGGGAAAATGCTGCAATTAAAAACACACAGCAAACGGAAAGCGTAATTTTGGCTAGACGACGACGGAAATTATTTAAGGAAGGGTGGCTAGTAATTAAAAAAGATTTACGACTGCTGAAAATATTTATCTCCTCTTTCATTGCCCTTCTTTCGACATACATTTCAACCCTTTACCAAAATATACTATAATATAATATGTGGAATAAAAAATGATCACAAACATGCCGCTTACCTTATGTAAATCGTTTACCTATGGTTTGTTTTTATTTTTGTCTCCATTAATAAATAAATCACATTTTACCACAAAAGTCGACAGATTAACCCAATCGTATTTTTAAGTAGGTACCTATACTCTCATCGCGTACGTGCCTATTGTACCCTAATACCCTATTTGTTATTTTGTTACCCTGTCTGTGGCTTCAGTGCCGTCTGATAGAACGAATGTATGCCTACCTACCCATCTAACTACAAAAGAAAATGTTTTACTTTAGTAGGTACCTATTAAAATCAGCCGACTTTGATGAGCTGTAAAGCGATATCTTACCACTCGTTATATGTACCTATATTATAATATGGTTTACTTGTTAAAAATATGAGGTGTCGCCATTCTGTGCTGATTTTATTTATTTATTTTTATTAAACAAAAAATAATATTTACAATCTGTATTTACAAGTTATACAATAAGTAAATGTGATGGGAATTGATTTACAGGAGGGAGAAGTTGCCTATTGGTGACACCCCGAGTTTATTTGTTAAGTAACAAATGTATGTTATAAATAGTAAATACTTATTATGTTTAATAGGTACTATTAAATTATAGTAACTATCAACTAATCAATCATCGGCATATAGATAACCTATATAGGTATTGAATAGGTGTAGCCAGGGGAGTTTTTGGTGTTAAAACTCCCATCCCTTCCATTTCATAATCCTGATTACTTTACACACTTAATTTTTATTTTTGGATGGGTAATTATATTTTATTTTTTAAATAAAAATTTGGTGAATCAGGATTTTAAATTTCATATGAACATAAAAATATTAATTTTAATTTTAATTTCAAAATGTTCAAATGTAAATTTTAGAAGGTAAAAAATAGATCTTCTAAGAAATTAATTCTTCCTGAACATTTCAGGGAGTAGGTATCCTGTTCCTGTATAGTAACTATGATAATATTATTTAAAAATGAGTTTTATCATTAACTTATTATAATGATAAATTACTGGTGAATGGGTAAAAATGAATACCGAAGTCAATTTTCATAAGTACAAATATTATACATTTATTTTGTAGATAATTTTAAGCCAGGTTGACTGGTGACACTGAAATTCGGCTATCTCATTTAGCATTCTTAATAATGTTAATAAAGACATTGGTTTATATTGGGCTACCGCTACCTACTACCATTCCACTGTCCACTAGGTGCTTTTATGTTTGTATAGTGTTTTTAATAATAGTAATTAATATTATGCGTACATCCTAGCTATCTATCTATATCGTGTTAAATTAGTTGAGAACAGTAAAATATGACCTTATCTTTGAGGTTGATCTATGATCCGAATATTAACTACTTACCTACACAGGATTCAACATAATTAATTGAGAACTTAAATAAGGTCAGTATTTAAAGTTTACTCAGACTTAGGTGACTTTATAGGTTAGTTTATATGAGTAGGATTTACAGTTAATTTACTGTTAAATCTGAGACAGGTCTCATTTTATTGACTTACAGTGTTAGTCATTCATGAAGGGTTGTAACATTGTTGTTACAATTTTAGTATACAAATTAAACCAATAGAATGGTATTTTATCCAATAAATTTAATACCAAACTATGAAAATAATAGTTTTTATGTGTTTAAGTGTGAATATAATGAATTTTATGACTTAAATTAGGTATAACAACATGCTCATATTTTATTGCACAATATTATAAAATAAAACAAAAAAAGTTGTTCAATATTTATGTGGGTACATTAAGTATAGCTTGAAAATTAGATAGAATATAAACATTATAAACCTATGCATTTTTATAAATCGAGAGTAAAACCAGTACACGTAAAAAATTTAAAAGTAGGTATGAAAACATTTTTTACATAGCTACCTATACATATTTGTAACTTTTATTTGTAATTTATATTTTTTGTGATTCGTACCTTTCTCCCTCCGGCCAAATGATGTTTTTTTCACCCAACACTATACTTAATAGTTTATTGCCGAGTTTATGTTTTTTAGACTTTATGATGCAAACATTAAGCTAAGTACATATTTTTCTTAATCGTAGGAAATAACAATATACAATTTGAACACGAATTAATATTTTATTGATGATTCTCATAACGGATGGGACGGAAAATATAAAGGGTTGGGGTTAGCCGCAGTCATTAGCAATGACTCATTATACTCTGCTGTAGGCAGGGCTTA